GACCATGATAAATGAGTGTCCAAGGTAACACAGAGCAATTTTATTTCATCCACCTGTTCAATTTGCATTCCTCTCAATGAAAGATTTAACTTTAGTTTTGCCTGCAACATATGTTGTGAGCCTAATACCATGCACTTTGTTTTAGAAATGTTTAATACCAGTCTGTTGTTTTTTATCCAATCTGCTACTTGTTGTAACTCTTTGTTCAGAGCCACAGACAAGTCCTCCACAGTCGACACCGACATGTATAATGTTGAATCATCTGCGTACATGGCCATATTTTTTCCCTTTCCAGGACCAACAGCAAGTCATTTGTAAATATTGTGAATAATAACGGCCCCAGACAACTCCCTTGTGGTATCCCAGACTGTACCTGTTTTGTGTCAGACGAGCTACCATTATAAAAAACTCTCCGTGTTCTACTGGATAAATAGCTCTTTATCCAGTTCACTGCAGAGGGTGAAAAACCATATGGCATCAATTTCTCTAATAATAATTAATGATCAATTACATCAAACGTGGCGCTGAAGTCTAACATCATGGATCCCACCAGTTTTTTTATTGTCAATTTCCATTGGACAGTCATCCATCATTTGTGTTAGTGCTGTACAGGTTGAGTACCCTTCCCTGTAAGCATGCTGAAAGTCTGTGTTAAGTTTATTTTCAGAAAAATAGCTCTGTATTTGGTTGAAAACTTTCTCCATAATTTTGGCTAGCACCGGAAGAATGCTTATAGGGCGACTGTTTGTACCTGTCCAATTGATCTTTGCATTTTTTGGTAATGGAATAATTTTAGCCTCCTTCTAGACTTGTGGACATACACCGCAAGCTATACTTTGATTAATAATATGAGTAACTGGAATAGCCACCTGATTTGCTGAAGTTTTCAGCAATCTACCATCCTAGTGCGCCACCTCGTGTACAAACTACAACACTGCATCTCTTTTCCAAGTAGTCACCATAAGTTAAACATGAATCATAACAAATGCAAAGAATGTTACTGTGGCTCCATCAAGATATTTTAAAAGTTGTTGTTTTCATGTCTGTTTTAATTATTGACATGGTAAGCATCTGGTGACTATAAAAACTATAATTATTATTATTATTAATATTATGATAAAATATTTCACATATCAAAATATCCACTGGTATTTAGGACACTTAAGAGTACAAATTTAATATAAAGTAGTATTTAATACATGTTCTTACCTGTAAACATTTTACAGGTGTCTGCAGTTATCTGACACTTAAATTTAATGCTTTTTAAGGTCTTTTTAGGATCATTTTAAAACAAATTTAAGACTGATTTCTAGACAAATCATGTTTTTCTTATTCAAGCATTGCAGGTAAGTATAAAGGTAACTAGTTTGTATGAGGTCCTGTGCAGAGGAAGGTTTTTAGAATAGGAATATGATTATTAGAGTGAGTTAGGTTAATCTACATTGACAGGTGAGTGCAAGTATAATGTAAAAGAACAGAATTAGGGTCAGTGGAAAATCACAAATGTGAACCTTTAAACAGGATTTTGACTCATTTTGACAAAAATAATTTAAAAGATGGATACATTTAGATAAATAGATCAATTAGATAAAATGGTTGCAGTAATTACTGTCTCACAAATTATAGCTGCTGCGCACCGATGGGTCGGGTCCGGGCATTTTTAGGCAATTCTGAGCAACAAGCAGAAGAATTGGAAGACATTTAGCAACACAATCTGCCTTTTGCATCAGCTGAGGCTTGAACTCACAACTTCTGAGACTAAGAATCAATTTCTATGTCACTGAGCTAATTAGTCAGTGACAATTCATGTGTAGCTTCACAAATTGACTAAGCCAGACATGCAGGTTTAGCAGCCGTCCATGCATGGGAAGGCAGATTTGAAACCACTGTAAAAAAAAAAAAAAAAAAAAAAAAAATCAGTTATTAAGACAAAAATCTGAAAATACACATATTGCATCTAGACAGCATGGAGATGTTGGTAATTTGTTTGTAACAATGATTGATTTGCTCCATAAGTGAAAAACTGATGTTTAAAATTGCCATTTTTACATTGACTTCAATTGTTCACATTAGAGCAAAATTCAAAATGCTGTCAAAAATTCAGTTTTTGAGATAAAATTCTGAAATTTGCCACACATCATCTACCATGACTCTAGAATTTTGTCATTTTTTTCATGAACATTGAAGATTTATTTAGCAAGAATCTGCATGTATATGTTTACAGTACCGTTTACAGTCAAACATTTTGATGCACTGTAGGCTCAATTTTTGATAAATCAACAATCTGAGAAACGTAGTTTTTGTAGGACAGTCTGAAGATGCTCTGTAGCAAGTTTGGTGTCAATTGAGCAAAAATTGTGGGAGGAGATAGGTTTAAGAAGTTTTACAGTTTTTGAAAAAAACAGAGTGATGAACTTCATGATTTTTAATAGGTTTAAATGTACAAAAGTTTCTTCAGTATTGGGGCTACAGTTTGATGAAAGTTGTGAAGTTGTAGCACGTATGGTTGATTTGTTATGAATTTTTGAAGTTTTGAACTTTAGACGCTCGCTGTAGCGCCACCATCAGGACTATTGGCTTGAGTTTACAGCTGAGGATATCTGGCATGAGACTGGACCTTTGTGCAAAGTTCGGTGAGTTTTCGCCCATGGGAGGTATGATTTCCTCGGAAGAAGAAAGCAGAAGAAGAAGAAGAAGAAGAAGAATACCTAGGATTACAATAGTGTCCTGGCAGCTTAGCTGCCCAGACCCTAATTAACTTATAATTCAAACAAAACCAAATCCTACCTGTCGTACTCAATAACCAGCCTGTAAAACCTATATTGTTAACTGTGCGTTTTTAATGGTGTATTGTGTTTTGTGTCTGTATGTACCGTTGATTTTGGAGATTTTATTACACAATTTGATAAGTGTTAAGGCCTAATAGTTATAAGATTAAATTTACCTGACATGCTGATTCAAAGTGATATTATTGGACAAAAAATAGTCATAGAACAGACAATTTTAGCTATCCAGTGAGTTTCTGTTGTGTAATGACTCACTGTAGCCTCTAAGGGGCACTAATGAGCATTATTTTATACTCTAACATCCCCTTTGGCATCTACTGAACAAAAAAAACCTCCCCATCCTGCACCAGCATTCAGGTATGCAGGGCAGCTCTACAGGTGAGAGGCAACACTGTCTGAGTCACATTTCCTCAGTAGCTCAAACAGAATTGAGCAGAAGGTGACTCCACGCACTCGTCACATGCTGTGCAGTGATCTCAGATACCTGTCAGTGTGGTGTAGAAGACTTACCTCCCAATCACCACGCTCCCATTTTCAACCACACAAAGATTTTGCATCCCATGTTTGATCTTGTATTTCTCTCCATTGTTGCAGATGAGAACCAGCTGTTTGGCGTTCTTCACCAGGAGCCTGTGACCACTGGACATTTTGATTCATCCGCAGCAGACACACTTCACTTCAGAGTCACTGGCTTCAGACTAATTTGGGAACAGGCAAATATTTGTCCTGGGGAGAAGAGTTTAAAGTGCACAGAGAGAGGCGGTGCTTCACACAGACATCACACACAACCAGTTAACCAGTAATACTTAAAGACGTATTTCACTGCTGCAGGATGGACTTTACATTAAACTGGGCCGTGTAGGAAGACTACCACTACCACAACTACCAGAATGCACTGCATCGGACTAATAAATGCTCTTGCTTGACATGACGTAGTAAGTTTCCCGTCCAAAGACAGCATGGCAGCCAGCTAGGCTCAGTAAATGACAATCTACACATCTGACAGTGATGTATTCCTTCAAGATGATGATGGTGATATTACCTAGAATAAATGTTAAAATAAAAACATAAAGCTGTAACTCTGCCCCCAATGAGACGAATTTGGGTTTTGCTTCATGGTGATGATACTAACAGGCAGTTAGGGACAAATACTGTCTCAATAATAAGGTTAAGTTATTATTAAAGTTATTTGTGCATCAAATATATCCACAAAATAAGACACTGGAGCAACAAGGAAACAGAATCTTGGTCCATATTTGATCAGCAGTGCTTAGGGACTGTTCTTTACTTGTGAGAGGAGCGGGGTGGCTGAGGGTGTAACTTCAGTTTGGTCTTTTTAACCATCCCCAAAACTAAAAATATATTTCCTCATGGCTCCCTGAGTGACTTAGAAAATGCATGAACTATCTAACTGTATTAGATTTACTTATCCTTTGACGTTTGAAAGTTAGAAGTTGAAGACAAAATCCTGAAGTTGAATAAAAAAAAAAAAACCTAGGATTTTCTCATGTCATGCACGCTGCGAAGTTTGTGCCAACAGTTTATTTTTGGCCATATTTTAAATGAAATGTAGAATAAATTTTTAACCTCAGATTTGTTTTTTTTTTCTGATGGTAGTGTTCATGCCACATCATGAGTTCAAGGACTGTTGTAAATTTGAAAATCAAAAAAACCCAGCCATTTTAAGTCGAATGTCCCTCTCCTGAGTTGAAACAAAAAAAAATTTGGACATGTCTCCCTTTTTTGTGCCACTCCCTCCCCCCTTGGAAATATCAAACAGTCCCTTAGTTTTACGTGTCATCAGAGTTTGGTCTGAGTTTCAGAAAGAGACAGACGGGCGGCTCTCTCTCAATCTGAAGTTTAAGCAACAGCTCTAAAGCCGGTGAAATTTGAGCTGCTGGATCAATAAACACTCCCGCTAGTGAGTGACGTAAACGTGTTTCCTTTTAACAGGTAAACAGTTCACTAAGATATGTTTCTGAAGACATTTTAGGGAAGAAATAGGAAGCACTACAAGTACTCTCAGTCACTGAAATTTGAGCTGAGAGACGAGCAGGGAGATCTGGCAAGATTTAACGTACTTCATTTGCACATACGACCCACGCTGTGATGACACAAGGGCCGCTGAAAATCAGCAAAGTTCCCTCTTTAAAGAGGAATTTACGTACACTTCTGTTCGACATCAAATGCAAAAAAACACCCACGATAATCAGGTTTAAGAAAGGGTACAATAATCATTTTATTGTGTCTGTATCACAAAGTCACAACTTAAAATTGGCCTCACATACAGTAAAAAAAAAAAAAAAAAATCATTTTCAAAACTGCTTGGAAAAACAAAAAACAAAACAAAACCGCAGGCGTCCATTCGTTTCACATGGTGAAAACACAAACACACGTCAACTCAACTACGAGGTACGATCACACAGCAGGGCCGGGTCCTCTTCACCGACATCACTCCCTCATCTCTCCGTCCTCCTCCTCTTCTTCTACTCCTCTGATGTACAAAACATTATTGCACCTGTGGGATTGAAACATAGTACTGTCACAACTGGCTGTGGGGGAAAGACAGACACACAGAGTGTCGATGTAGTGCTCATCTGCTTCACACAACGGTAATTATTAACACGGTTAGTCGAGGCAGTTAGGGATCTCCGTCTTTGTGTTAGTTAACCAAAAACTGCTGCTGTGTATCTAGACCTGTTTGTTCTGTGATGCTTTCCAGGTGTGGTCTCTTAAAAACATTATATCATACTTTAAATTACCAGAATGAAAAGCAGTAAATGTCAAATTAACTGCTCAACACAGAAGCATCTACTGAACTAGTTGTGGAATGAAGACGTTTTCGGTTTACAACATACCTGATAAGCACTTCGCCGAGATGACCCGCCAACGCTCCGTCCACATACTCTTCTGTGTTTGCCAGCTGTCAGGAAAACATGTAAATATAAAAAGGTCAAGAGGCTACAGATAACAGTGTATTTGTAGATTAAATTCCATTTGACAAGAACGACGTCCCAGAAATACGAGGCTGGATAGATGTTCGCACTGATCTGAGAGGTACAGCTCAGGATGGGAAGATCCCAATAAATTATGTAAAGAACAAAAAGATTTCTGCACAACTTTTTCTGTAAAACAAAGATGCTGGCAACTGCGAGATGAACGTATAATAAAAAAAATATTCACTGTACACTCTCACAGCCCACACAAGTGTAGGATAAAAGGTCTTTCAAAAGATTTCTTTATGTGCTGAGTGTGCAGGCACGACTACAAACACTTTTTATTGGTCAGGGACAACGCAAAAAACACTGCAACACTTTCCACTTTGCTTTTCAGCTTAAAAAGTGCAAGAGTTAAAAGAGCTGTGGGCGTGGAGATCCCAACCAACCAGAGACTGATATTACTGGGGGACATCTCAGTTTTACCAGTCACATGAGAGGCAATATTCACTTTGTCAGACTGGCTCTAATTGCTTCTAACAGATGTATTGCCATCCACTAGTGTGTCTCTTCTGAGAAATACTGGGCAACCTTTGTAGCCTCTTTATAAAACAGAACTTGTTGTGATTCCAGTGTACATGATCAAACTTAGGGCTGCACTGCAGTCTTAAGTTTGACTGTGTCAGGGTTTTGGGGGGCAGATTATTGATCTGTAATTGAACTGAATCTTGTTTGTGGAGGAAATAAATGGAAAACTCATTAACCATATTGTTGAAAACAAAAACACAAGCACAAGAGTTGGATCATTTCACCATCACTACAATTACATCAAACTGACCACATGATAAACAGTAACATTTTCGTACATGCGACATGATCATATAAAGAATTACAATATAAAATCATATTGCAGTCATTTTACACATGTTGCATTTATGTTTGTGTGCACATGTGTACATCCCCTCATTATATGTCGTCTTGTAAAAGGGAGGACTCTGACTGACAAATGCACGCGGCGTACAAAGTACTTTTATGAAGTGTTTTTTAAATGCACTGTTATAATTTCCTTGTTAAAGAAAAATATGTTCACTCACACAGTGAAAAGTTGCTGTTCACATTAAGGACAAATGGAAGCTCTCGAGCTTGTAATGCGTAAATCCTCCAACATTTTGTTTGTGATGATTCTTGTGGTCTCACATGAGATAGAAAAGTGTGCAAATATGGTTAAGTAAAGAGGGAACAAGTCAAAATGTTACAAAAATGTGACATGAATGAAAATGCAAACCGCAATCAACCAAGCTTCAGCCTATTACTATAATATATTTTACCTTAAAGGCGCTGTATGTAAGAATGTGGCCAAAACGGTTACTGCACTCAAATTCAAAATACTGCTGTGAGTCGTGTCGGCCCCTCCTCCCCTACAGATTGGAGGTTGCTAGACAGCGGCACGCTGGAGACTCATTTGTTTGCCCAGGGGCGGCTGCCGTGGGCCGCATACTCGGGCGGAACGTGCGTGGAGCGGACTCTGTGGAGGTCCGCCCAGTAAAAGTGGACATCCGCAAGCCCTGTGAGCGCAGTGTCACACAAAAGACTGTTCGGCATGTATTTTTCACATTGCGGGGATTTTTCATGTACATTTTTACATGGAGTCTGTCCGCTTATAGTACGCCCGAGTCTGTGGGCACCTGTGTCTGCCTCTTCGCCAAGCGCACAGCGAGGAGGAGAGAGAGGGGGGTGGGGGTGGGGACTGAGCTAGGGGGTGCAAGTGCGCATGTACCGAGGCCTCTACTGTAGCCTGGAGTTTGTTTAATAGTGATGGGGAGTCGATAATGGTGGACAATTTAGTCTCAAAGAAATCAAAGAATGCGCCACTATGGCAACACTCTGGCTTTGAGCCAGATGAAGGAGCTGCAAAATTTATTTGTAAGGAATAAAAGAAACAACTTGTTACTGTCACTCTGTTGTCCGATGGTCGTTTTTTATTTTAAATGAGTCAATTGCGCCCCCAAGTGGCGAAAATCCGGTATTACCGACTTGATACCGACCCAACCCTAGCGGCTTCTCTGCTGCTAACGCTGCTGCCGGGATACAGCTGAGGAAGAGCCGGCTGCTAATGCTATGTACTGGGACACTGCTAATGCTGCTTGACGTGCTGCTGTAGCTCAGTCGTAACTGTAACTGATGCTGAGACTCTACTGACTGCGTGACTGGTAGACGGCGGTGGGTCGCGCAACAGGTCAAAACACAAATTCAAAACATAAACATGATTTGCAGACAGTAAAAAAATTTTTTAAATGCTAATATTCTGGCTGTACTATTGTTGTCGGTAAGATCAGTATGTTATATGAACGTTATTCCTTAGTCTCTGTGACATATTAGGAGGATTTTACGACCGTTTGCTTTAGATTTCTTACATATAGCTCCTTTAAGCCTTTAGTAAACTACTCTCTCTTTGCAAGCAAGGACAGCAGTCAGGGTATACACCAGTTGATAAATAACACTTGTACTGAAACTGTGTCTGTATCATTATTATATTCTGCTACATTTGGATGTTTATATATTATATTGCTTTTGTGTTTTTATGCTGTTTTCTTGTTATATTGCTTTGCTTGCTTTGTTTTTGCAGTTCACTTATTCTACGTACTCATATATTGCTTTGTATTTTTTTTTCTACTTATGCTTTCTGTTTGCACAATAACTTATAACTATTATAACTATAATTACGATAACTTGTTCTCACCTGCATATTCATGTACCCGTCCACAGACACCAGGTAGCCCTTATACTCCATACCCCACTTCAGCTTCACCATCACTGGTTTGCCTGTCAGGCCGTTCAGGAATGGTTTTGGGTTCAGAGGTAAACTCTGTGGAGAGAAAGGATACGACAGGTTATTACACACACTTTATCATGCTACACTTTGGCTGTATTAGATAACTATAAATACATATTGTGACATCACTGACCAATATTCTGTTACAAAGTATCTTGTTATTCTTGTTGCATGAAAACTAAAAGTACAGACAAGTTATTTGTAATATTAGAGGAAACAACACCAGAATTCCTAAAATCAGACAGAAACCAGAGGATCTGCAGCCTCTGTGGTGATCATCATGTGGGAGATGACGCTTGGAGATTTAAGCTTAAAGACTTACAGAGAAAGGTATTTGCCAAAGTATTATTTAAACTGTCCATCTATGTTTAAATTAATTTTGTTGTTACAATCAGTTAAGCCAAAAGTAATTTATAAACTGGGTGATTTTTTGAATAAAGTCCTTCCTTTTGTGAGTAACACTGGTTGTACTTAAGCCACGCGCCATTGTTTTATTTTATGTAATGTTTGAACTCCGTACCGTGTGATATGATCTTGAGTCAAATAAATGAAAATTAAAAAAAATCTGTAATTAAAGAATAATTGTGGTTTAGCATATCATCAACACACACATGCATCTAGTGACCTAAATTGATGTGATGATTTAACAGTTAATTCAGCACAAAATGTATTATTTCAAATACATTTCTGAGCATAAAACAACTCTCTGAAGCAGATGAGTTTAGATTCATGGCTGTAAACAAGATAACTTTAAGTTAAAAAATACTAAGTTAATATTTACATGTGTTGCTGATGTGTTGTAATAACGTATACACTTTACTAATAAAGAAACTGCTGGTATAGCCTGAACCATATAATCCAGCCAGCCCCTGGCTAAATTACTGACTGAATTAAAATATAAAATACTACATGTTAAATTATACACATATTGCTGCACTATTTTGTTTATAGAGGATATACAGTCAGTGAGGCTGCGTTCGGCCCATCCAACCGAGGCAAGCAACACATCCAGGAAGAAAAAAATAAACAAATAAACCTACAAAGTATAAAACATACTGTTTGCAGATTAACATTAAATCGCAAGATTTTGTAATGGAGTTTGGTGCCGCTGTGTCTCCGCATAAATCGCTCCAACTCAGACAAAACGCGACTTAACTTTAACTTGTAAATGAACTTATGCTGCCTACAAAAGAAATAAATCTACACTGTTACTGTTCACGTAGATAAATATTACACATACACACTTCCCGTGCGCGTAAAAGAGAGGGATTCATTCACCTGAAGTCATGAATGAGAAGCTAACGCTGCTAATGCTAACTAGCAAATAGGCTACTCTCCTAGCTTGGTGTTAGAGACAACAGCCCCACAAAACATTTAATTAGTGGATGGTAAACAATAATAAAATGCACTCACCATCTCTGTTTAGTTAACGCGGTCTGGGAATGAATTAAACGAATATATAATCGTCACAAAAACGTTTGTACTTCGCAAAGCAGAACACGCTTTACCGCCGAACAGGAAGTACAAACCTCTGACCTCAGAGAGGAGTGTTTGTGTTTTCACTGACTGCCACCTGGTGGTCAGAGGGTCACACTGCAACATGCAACGTGTGTGTGTGTGTGTGTGTGTGTGTGTGTGTGTGTGTGTATATATTAAAAATGTACTTTAAGTATTATGAGAGAAAGTATTTATGCAGAAAAAAATCTCCTGTGACTGTAAAACTATTACATATGACATTATTATATTATTATCACTCACTATATTAATATGTAAGCAGCATTGTACTGCTGTGGTTGGCTGAAGTTGAGCTATTTTTTGTAAAAACAATTTTATGTAGGACTGCAACTATTGATTATTTATATTATAGTATTATCTGATAATTATTTTCTTAATCAATTGTTTGGTTTCTAAAAAATCAGAAAATAGTGAGTCCAAACTTCAGCTTTATTACAAATATCTTTCTCTCTCGCTGCCCCTTTCACTCTCTACCTGTCCTACCAAATATTTAATTATTTAATGTTTATTTGTATAGGGACAAATATGTAGCGTATATAAATGCCACACACCACAGCATTTATAGCCTAAGCTAATTTGCAATGCCCGTCCCTAGCTGGGGCTTAAGATACAAAAGACTCAGCAACAAGAACTCAAGTAACAGTGCACATTACAAACAACAATAAAACATACAGACAGAACAACACAAGACACAACATGCATTAAATAATTAGCACCATAGAACAGGAAGCACCAAATTATTTATGCCTACATAACTGATTCCTCTTCAAAAACTGTCTCAGTTTGAGTTTAAAGAAAAACAACAGCTAAACTATATATCAGAGCAGTCTCATTTATCCAGTTGTATGCTCATTACTACCCAAACAGACAGCCCTTTCTGACAGGGAACTGAACTGAAAGTGACACTTTATTATGCTCTTTTCAAAGCCAGACTCCATTGACAAAAATGGTCATTTTAACTTGCTGAACACAGGAGCTGCTGGTCTACCTCTGCCTCAATCGGTTAGTTTATTTGGGTTTCTGTGTGACTTTGCTGAATTTCACCTGGCTCTTTAAAACACAGAAGTCAAACAGTAACCCAAATGAAGTAACTAATTGAGACAGGAACGCAACCAGCAGCTCTTATGTTCACAAAAGTAAAATCATTATTTTTGTCAATGGAGTCTGGCTTTGAGGAGAGTAAAAATAAGTTTAACTTTAAGTTCAGCTGTCTGTTTGGGAAGTACTGAGCATATGACTGTATAAATGAGACCAGAGGCATGCAAGAAAAACAAATGTTTCTTCATATATTTAACGTAGTGAGTAAATTATGCATAAATAGTCATTTAGGGGGTGAAATATTCCTTATTATTGCATAATTTATAAAAAAAAAAAAAAAAGCAGCAAATCCTCACATTTGAGAATCTGGAACCACGAAATATTTAGTATTTTTGCAATCATTAAAATAGTTGCCAGGTAATTCAATAACTGGACTTGAAGTTTAATCAACTTATCATTTTGGCTCTATTTGTATTTACTGTTGGGTTTGTTACAAAACATCATTTATAAGCACTTAATATGTGTATGTAATATGTAAAATATAGGGTAACTAAAGCTGTCACATAATGTAGTGGAGTAAAAAAGTACAGTATTTCCCTCTTAAATGTAGTGGAGGAGAAAAATATTATATATTTACATATATCAGCTGTTGCTGATTGTTTATCTGTCGATTAACTAATCAATTAATCAAGTACTCCTAATATTTCTAGCTGTAACAACCTTAAGTGAGTCCATGATCCTCAGAAGTACAAAGTGACCTTATATTACTTTACGTGCTCTGCTTGAAAATACATTCCTTTTCAATTTGCCATATGATTACTGTGAGGTTAATCCAAAGCAAATGAAGTCATATTCTGTTGTTCTGGAGTTTATCCAGCGTCAATGTCAATCTCTCCACCTGCCCTGAGCTGAACTGTACTGTACGTGCAACACCTGCTCTATGGAATATTTAACTTTAACTTGCCCATCATTAGAAGATTATTCAGTAATTATAAACTCTGACCTGAAAAAGTGAAATGACTGTCATATCTGGGTCATGCTGGCTCTCTGTCTAGGCAGCTATTTCTCTCCAGGCACAAACAGCCTCAAGATTTCACTCATTTTTCTGCATTGAAGCGTTCAACTGTTACCAAAGCATCCAACAAGTTCCAACCTGATACTGTGAATAAAACTAACATCTGACTTCCTCCAGTAAAGGGCTGGGTGCGCTCACTAAATTCCTCCTGAAGTGTACTGGCTCTTTCTGCGCGTGTTTGAAATACTGAAGTCCTTACATCATTTAGCCTATTTTTCTTCCCTCGCTTTTCGAGGTGCCCTCCATGTAATTAAGCAATCAGTCAGTCAGTCAACGTGTCAGTTGTGGCATGATAGCAATGTGTGTGTGGGTGTATGTTGAGAACAAGGGCAGAGCCAGAGGGGTGGCCTGGGGTGGCACTAGTCCCTCCTGGAGTCTGATCCCCTGGTGCCCCCAGTCAGAGGGTGGTAGGTAGTTGGGTTTTTAGTGTCAGAGCCACTGTGTGAAGTGACTTATTACTTTCTAAAAGTCAATCACACAACAACAAAGAGACAAAACACAACATAAAGAGAAAAAAAAATAACTACAAAGAGACACAAATGAACCACAAAGAAATGTAAATCAACCACAGATATGCAACAACAAAATAACTACAGAGAGAAACAGAATATCTTTAAAAAGACACAAATCAATCTCAAAGAGACACAAAGTATCTACAAAGAGACACAAATGAACCTCAAAGAGACACAAATCAACCACAAAGAGACACAAATCAACCACAGAGAGACACAAATCAATCTCAAAGAGACACAAAGTATCTACAAAGAGATACAAATCAACCACAGAGGGACACAAATCAATCTCAAAGAGACACAAATCAACCACAAAGAGACACAAAATATCTTTAAAAAGACACAAATCAACTTCAAAGAAACACAAATCAACTTCAAAGAGACACAAAATATCTTTAAAAAGACACAAATCAACTTCAAAGAAACACAAATCAACCTCAAAGAGACACAAAATATCTTTAAAAAGACACAAATCAATCTCAAAGAGACACAATGTATCTACAAAGAGGCACAAATCAATCTCAAAGAGACACAAATCAACCACAAAGAGACACAAATCAACCACAAAGAGACACAAAGTATCTACAAAGAGACACAAATCAACCACAGAGACACACATCAATCTCAAAGAGACACAAAATATCTACAAAGAGACACAAATCAACCACAGAGACACAAATCAACCACAGAGAGACACAAATCAACCACAAAGAGACACAAAGTATCTACAAAGAGACACAAATCAACCACAAATAGACACAAAATATCTTTAAAAAGACACAAATGAACCTCAAAGAGACACAAAGTATCTACATAGAGACACAAATCAACCCCAAAGAGACACAAATCAGCCACAGAGAGACACAAATCAACCCCAAAGAGACACAAATCAACCACAGAGAGACACAAATCAATCTCAAAGAGACACAAATCAACCACAGAGAGACACAAATCAACCTCAAAGAGACACGAAATATCTTTAAAAAGACACAAATGAACCTCAAAGAGACACAAAGTATCTACAAAGAGACACAAATCAACCCCAAAGAGACACAAATCAACCCAACCACAGAGAGACACAAATCAATCTCAAAGAGACACAAATCAACCACAGAGACACAAATCAACCACAAAGAGACACAAATCAACCACAGAGAGACACAAAATATCTTTAAAAAGACACAAATGAACCTCAAAGAGACCATTCAAACATTTCTCAATACACTCCTGCTTGAGGGGGGGGGGGGCAGCCTTTGTAGCTCTGTGTGAGTCTAAATTATTAACTCTACAATCTGTGAAACTTTTCCTGCCGCAGCCTTTCACTTGTTGGTATCATCATTAGAAGGAAGAAGCCAGTCGGATCATTCCAGTCTGATGGTGACCAGCTCTTTGAAGTCTGCAGAGGAGAGCTGGGAGACAGAAGTTAACAGTGAACGGGCCTGTGGAGTGGACGAGCTACAGGAAGTGTGAAGCATTGGACTCACAAACCACCGATACCACACTCATGTCTGTCTGCTATATGAAGCTACGGCCAGCAGCTGATTAGCTTAGCTTAGCATAAAGACTGGAAACAGGGAGTTTAAACCTCTGAGAGTTTTCTTCCTCACAGAGATCAGGAGCAGGGTGTCGGTGGATTAGTGGATAGAGCAGGTGCCCCTTGTACATGGCTGTTGCCGTTGTTCGAGTCCAGCCTGTGGCCCTTTGCTGCATGTCATCCCCTCTCTCTCTCTCTCCCCCTTTCATACTTGGCTAGCCTATCCATTAAAGGCAAAAATGCCCAAAAACATTTCTAAAAAAAAAAAAAAAAAGAGAGATCAGGAGCGATGACTGCAGCTGGACAGACAGAACAAAGTGAACAGGTGAGATAGTTTCATTTGGCTCACTGCTTATTGGCCACGGTTCAGAAGCACAGAAAGCAGGTCATGGTCCGATTACACAGCAGACAGAGAAGCCAAAGCCATGCTGTGTTCAGTGGAGCTTGACCCGAATGGGCCGGAGCGGAAAGAACAGTTTTCCAACATCATTTTTTTTGTACCATCACTGAGCACAGGGGGGCACACTGCAGCCTGCACAGGCCCGTCTCCTGTTGTTCATGCAGGCTGGAACACAAACTGAAGTGTGTCACGACCATAATCCAAGCTGTGGTAGCTTCATGTTTCATACGTGAACGTCTTCATCCTGCCTCTGTCTCCTGTTTATGGGCTGTTGAGCAGCCATTGTTGGGAGCAGATGGCCATGTGGAGAGCAGAACTGGAATTAAAAAGCTTTTCATTTATTGGGTTTGCATATTTCACTGGTTTTCTAAGGACGGCAACAATGTTGTCAACAAAGGCCGCAGCCGAGCAACCGATGGGTGTAATCTGAAGTGCATCAGCAGCATCACTTTGTGTGCGCTCCCTCCATCCAAAGCCAATTAGTGAGAAATGTGGATATGAACACTCATTTACGCCCCACATCAGCTTTTCATCAGACTCCACGTGGTCGGTACAGGGGGTCCCACACGCTCTCATGGCAGGGACATCTGGTGCTTTTACGATAGAGGTGGAAAATACTCGAATGTTTATATGGTTTAATGAAGTTTTTTGTCTCCACTACATTTATTAAACAGCTACAGTCACTCACCGTCACACTGATTAACTTATTACACACAGAAACATTGAGGCAGTTTATAAAATGTTAGATTAACTAGCAAATTAAGCATGCAGTTGCAACATTAACATTAATATGCTGCTCACACATTCATGCATCATTAATAATAATGTAATGTATCACTCACAGGGGGGGATTTCTCTGCAGAACTTTTGCTGGTAACATTTGTTTTATAGCTTTCTTTACTTTGCAGATTCACATTATTGATGCAAAATATTAATAAATTATGATACATATATTTATAGATTAAGCACTCACCAGTATATGAAGTAATTAAAATTAACTCCACGTCTACCAACATTATAGTACATTAATGCATTCTTTAAAGAGCCATTCTGCATAATGAGTACTTTAACTTTCAATCCTAATACTTTTACAGTTGTGGAAAGTAACTAGATACATTTACTCCAATAAGTACCATTTGAGTGTGTTTGTACTTTACTTGATCAGTTCATAAAGTATTACTGTTAAAATTAGCTCCACTTTGTCCAGCAACAGCATTAAAGTATGTAATTTAAAGGGACAGTTCACACCAAAATCAAAAATACATATTTCTCCTCTTACCTGTAGTGCTGTTTATCAGTCTAGATAGTTTTGGTGTGAGTTGCAGAGTGTTGGAGATATCAGCCGTAGAGATGTCTGCTCTCTCTCCAGTATAATGGAACTAGATGGCACTCAGCTTGTGGTGCTTAAAGTGCCAAAAAAATACATTTGAAAAACTCAACATCAATGTCTCTTTTCAGAAATCAAGACCTGGTTACTCAAGATAATCCACAGACCTTATTGTGAGCAGTTTCATGTAGGAACTATTTTCTTTCTACTGAACTACACTCAATAACTGTACCACTGTGCAGAAGGAAGTGTGCATCTACTATGGACAAGAGGCTTGTGACAGCGCAAGATGTAAACATTAATGGCGTCCTCCTTGACTGAGCTGTAATGTTAGCTAGCTCAGTGGTGCTAAGTGAGCTGGCAGTAGATGCACACTTCCTTCAGCACGGTGACGGGTATAGTTTAGTAGAAAGACAAGAGTTCTTACGTACCTGTCACATACAATGTCTCTTTCCAGAAATCATGACCCGGTTACTCAAGATAATCCACAGACCTTGTGGTGAGCAGTTTCATGAAGGAACTACACTCTGCAACAACTGATGTTGTGTTCAAAAAACAAAACAATTCGCATGAGTAAAATCCATGTAAGGTCAGTGTAAAAATGCGATTAGATGCAAATTCCCACTAGGCGGCATGATGGACACGACACAAATTACATGCAATATTTGAATTAAGTGGCATGAATGAAGCAAGTAGTGCCATTTCGCATCATTTGCTTATTGCGTAAGTTGAAAATTCTGAACTTCAGCGACCAATTTGCGCCGCGATAGCCAATCAGCACTGAGATCCTCTGGGGATGTATGACGCCGTGTGTATAAAGTTAGTCCACACAAAATATTCTAGTGTTCAAACTCACACAAGTAACGCAACATGAAAATTTGCATTGCATTTGATGTGAACACAACATGATAAATAGCACCAAGAGTAAACATATGTATTTTGAGCACAGTCTCAATCCGAAGTCGTCGAAATCCGGCGCTTGGGCAGTGACTTGTGGCGTCAGACACCAACAAAAAAGGCGTCCTTTAATGTCGGCAAGATATGATATGCGTATATGATTCTGTTGCCATTATAGTTCAACAGTGTCCAGTGGCGTCAGGGGGAAACATAGTGGGAAAAGGACGAAAGTTAAGGTGGCGGACGTCCAAGCGGGGCGGACGAGTCCAACAAACACCGACTGTCACCTGAGAGAGTGGTGTTTGTGTCCCGTAAGATTCTAAAGCCAAACCCTGTTCTTATTTCCTAAACCCAACCACGAGTTTTTGTTGTACTGATGTAGTGCTTTTATTTTGAAAGAGACTGTATGTAATTGTTAAATTACCTGAGAAAACATAAGTTTATTTTGAAAGAAGACAATGTAAGTAACAGGCAGAACTTGACACGGTGTCCCAGAATGTCAGCAACACACCCAGGGTACCTTTCATGTTGTATGTGGATGTGGAAAATCCATGGCCAAACGTCGATTTGTGACGAGGTCGGAGTGAGAATTGTGTTGCTATTTTGAATTTGTAGTGAACTGTCCCTTAAAGTGAGCAACATTTGTTACTATACTTATGTTCCTTTAAAACACACTTTAAATACATGACTTTGACTTGTAGTGGAGATTTTTATAATGTAGTATTGCCTCTTATCACTGCCAGGGAGGTTTTGTGGTCTGTCTGCAATGTTGGAGGAAGTCTAACCTCTCATTAAACACCTTTAATCAGTATCCTGCTGGACTCCCTGGACTCCTCACAAAGCCCTCTGGAGGTCCCTCTTGGACCCCCATGTTGGAGCAGGAGGTTGTGGGCTCTGTCCATGTCCAGCGCTGCACACAAACTGGAATGTTCCTTTAAATGAGGGGCGAAATGAGGAGGAGAGGCGGAGCTGCTGCTGTCATTACACAGCCTCTGTGCGCTCCTCAGACACAGATCTGCGGGGCAGAGCGGGCAGCGGGAGCTCACTGTGGGGAAATGAAACACGCTGCAGGTCCCGGAGCAGCAGCAGCAGCAGCAGCAGCAGACGAGCCGGGCAGAGCCGATCACTTCATCTGTCAGCGGGACATCACGCACCGTCCGGGATCATGTTGTTTCCTCTCCACCTATTATCGGCTTATTGGATCGCAGCTGAGTGAGAGGGAAAGTCCACACTGGATCTGAAGCTACGCACTTGTCTTCGCCACCGTGGATGAGATCTTTGCATACTTGATGTCTGAATAACTCCTGCGGATTGTCTGCCTCTTCTCACATATTTCGGATTATTCCTTTAATAAGGAGACATGTTGATTTTGCTTGTGATCAGCCTGGCCGTGTTGTCAGACGCAGGTAAGTGGTTATTTTTCCATCAAACATCCTGTTGTCAGAGTTATTGTCACTTGGTGCAACAATGTGCTGGTGCTGCTCAGCAGTGCAGAACTCCATTGGGTTTTTAGGCAATTTAATATTTCACTGAAATAGTTTCAACACAGCATTTATAAACACATAAACCCACATGTATTAAAAGTTAGGATATGATTCAACATCATAAACCAAATTACGTGTGTCATAGAGGTCAATATGGAAACTGGAGTTTAGTAACTGTAGTGGATGTGATTGAACTTCATTGTTTTTAATTGCCACAGATTTGAATGGAAGTTTGGTATTAAAAACACAACAGTTGTGATTTATCTTATAGCCTCCAAATTATGTATATCCAAGCTCTTTTAGAATTAAATATAGCTTCTTTTAACATGTTTCACTCGTATTCATTACTTTATATCCTATTAATGAGCACAAAACAAATGATTATTCAGTTTAAAGCCCCCCCCCCCCCCCCCCCCCCCCCCCCCCCCCCCCCCCCCCCTTGACCTCCCCATATACAGACAGTTATGTAATTCAGCATGAACCAATCTAACAAAGAACGTCCCCCTAGGAAAGGTCCCTCAGTGCAAAACTGCACCAATCCAAGCCCCAAGGTTTAATATGAGTCTATCTGCGAAGCCGCTGACATGAAAAACAACGTGAGCTCCAGGTTTTGGATAATAAATCCAGGCTGGAAGATGACACTGTGGCCCTTGGGGGGTGTGCGAAGCGTCTGGAAGGCGTCTGAATGCTGCTCATCCTCCCTGAGCTGCCAAACTCTATCTGTGTTAAGAGTCCACGCTGGCTGCAGTCTGTGGCAGGCAGGTGCACAATGCCTCTATTATCCCTTTTGCATAAGATTTCCGATTGTGGTACATCACTTGACTTGTGTACACACACACACACACACACACTGAGTCACTCTTAGTCTCAGCTCGCCCGTTCACTCTTAAACATACTGTGTTAGTCAGATTCAGGTGTGCTTGTTCACTAAACCTCTAAACCTGCTTAGGAAGTTTCACATTTCTAGGGGCACTGAATGGTGACCAAGGAGACATTCCTGTTACTTAAAGGGACAGATCACCCCCAAAATCAAAAATACATATTTTCCTTCTCACCTGTAGTGCTGTTTATCAGTTGCAGAGTGTTGGAGATATCAGCCGTAGAGATGTCTGCCTTCTCTCCACTATAATGGAACTAGATGGCACTCAGCTTGTGGTGCTCAAAGTGCCAAAAAATACATTTGAAAAACTCAACATCAATGTCTCTTTCCATAAATCATGACCTGGTTACTCAAGATAATCCACAGACCTTCTTGTGAGCAGTTTCATGTAGGAACTATTTTCTTTCTACTGAACTACACCCACCAATTGTATCACCACACAGAAGGAAGCGTGCATCTACTCATGGACGAGTAGCTTGTGACAGCGCAAGACGTAAACTGTGATAATGAGCCCTAAATGAGGTAGCTTTCAGAACACTCCCTCATCCTGAGGTTAATGGGTCTTTGAATAGCCAACCGTATCACTGCACAGAAGGAAGCGTGCATCTACTGCTAGCTTACCTAGCACCTCTGAGCTAACTAATGCTAGAGCTCAGCTGAAGAGAATGCCAAAGACCTTTTTCACAGCAGACATTTTAAGTGTAATGCAGCCATCATTAATAGTAATAAATACACCTGTGCTTCTCCGACTATGACAAGTCAAAATGTCTGCTGAGAAAAAGCACTATTAATGTTTTTATCTTGCGCTGTTGCCAACATAAGCCTCTCATATGCGGGTTTTTTTGGAAAGAGACATTGCTGTTGAGTTTTTCAAATGTATTTTTTTTGGCAGTTTGAGCACAGAACTAGAGCCACCAACCGTATCACCGCGCAGAAGGAAGTGTACATCTACTCATGGACGAGAAGCTTGTGACAGAGGGAGATGTAGGCTAAGCATTAATGGTGCTGACATTAGCTAGCTCAGTGGTGCTAGGTCAAATAGCAGTTGACACACACTTCCTTCTGCATGGTAATACAGTTGGTGGGTGTAGTTTGGAAGAAAGAAAATAGTTCGTACATCAAACTGCTATTTTCTTTCTGCCAAAGTACACCTGTCAACCGTATCACCACGCAGAAGGACGTGTGCATCTACTGCTAGCTCACCTAGCAGCACTGAGCTAACTAACATTACAGCTCAGTCAAAGAGGACACAATTTATGTTACATCACAAGTCTTTCGTCCATGAGTAGATGTACGCTTCCTTCTGCGCGTTAATTTGGTTGGCAGGTGTAGTCAGTAGAAAGAAAATACTTACTACATCAAACTGCTCACAACAAGGTCTGTGGATAATCTTGAGAAACCAAGTAGGTATTGCATCCACACACCTTTCTCTTCATCCATCCTTGATCTTACCAGGTTTTTGCGCTATTTTAGTGCCTGAGTTCTGTGTTAAAGTTATATTTTATTCCCCTCTATTGTATAATGGTGAAAGAAAGAAATCTCAAAATGTGCACAAATACTATCTTCATGATTGAGAACTAGAGGTGTGTGATTTGGGTGAACTAACCCTTTAAACTGAGGTACCACACCTACCTGACCCATTTGTTTTCACCCTTTTCTTCTTGTGTTATGTCACCACAGCCCTTATTTGCCAGGTACACATGTAAACTCTGTTTTCTCTCCATCCATGCAGGTCTGCCGGCGGAGGTGTTTCGAGCAGGTGTGGCCCCTCGCTGTGAGAGCCGGGCCTGCAACCCCCGCATGGGTAACTTAGCCCTGGGTCGCCGTGTCCTGACGCAGACTGTCTGCGGAAACAACGGCACTGAGCTCTACTGCTCCTACTCTGACCCCAACTCCAACCTGGCCTGCAACGCTGCCAAGTGCGCCAAATGCAACGCCGGCCTGCCTCTCCTGTCCCACCTGGCTGGAGCCATGTCCGACTCCTCCTTCCGTCACCCCAACACCTGGTGGCAGTCGGCTGAGGGAGTGGAGTCTGAGACGGTGCAACTGGACCTGGAGGCCGAGTTCTACTTCACACATCTCATCGTAGTGTTTCGTTCGCCGAGGCCTGCCGCCATGACGCTGGAGCGGTCGCAGGATTTTGGGAGAACGTGGAAGATGCTGCAGTACTATGCCAGCAACTGCAGCGCCGCCTTTGGGATGGAGGAGGGAAAGACAGGCGTGGGTCGGGACGGGGCCACCTGCACCTCCAAATACTCGGAGGCTTATCCCTGCAACCGTGGAGAGGTGAGGAGGGCAGGGTTTGTCTCATACCTTATACATCAGTCCTTAAAATGTGTCTGAGCTCAGGTTAAAGTTGCACTGTGTTCCTGCATCAAACTAGATGGCACTATTTCTCTCAACCCAAACACAGTCAGATTGCTCAGAGAGCAGGTTGACGCAGGTGGAGAGGAGGGCGAATACACACCTGCAGTGAAACGCTGGAGGGGGGGTGACGGAGAGTTTCCTGCTCAGCTTTGTCTTCCTCTATGAATGAATTGCTAATTATATCACATCACACATGCCGTGTGTGACAGGTAAACTCTGCTACAGTCACACGCTCGTGTTTTTCTAAAGAAAGGGTTTTAAGTGCATCATTACCCCTCCTACTGGAACAAATTCAGTCCTGTCTGCTGCAAGTCACGCAACATGCGAGAGTCATACAGTCATACGACTGAGCAGAATGAAAGCAGAGCTCAGCCAGGTGTGGGAGGCTCTGTGAGTGTGTGTGTGTGTGTGTGCGTGCATGATTGAGTGTTTAATAGGCGTACTTTGACTGTAGCACGAGAGGGCTTCCTGAAGTCCATTGATGTTTAATTGAAGCAGTGTGTGTCGGGAGCTGCTCTGCAGATGTGTGTGGAGGCGCATGCCGAGCGTGGTGCTGCTCTCGACTCCCTGCAGTGCTCTCATATGTAATGTGTGTTTACGCCCTCTTTGACGGGCTCTCACTGCTACGACTTCTTCCAAGTATTCACCTGTTATGGCCTTTATTCTGCTGCTGTATCATAAATCTCTCTCTATGTGCTCCTGCTGTGTTCAAGATTTCTTGGTTTGTTCGCACGAGTGTGTAAGAATGAAACAAAGAAATATGACTCTGTTGCTTACATGTTTTTTTTTCTCCATCTTTTGTGCATGAAGGTGTGAAAAACAGCAGCTTCTTCTCTCTTCTGTTTTTCTCTGACACTGCTTCACATATTGGTTTCCGCATGTCTCAGCCACCTGTGCTGGGAGCATGACCTTCAACCTCTCACCCCTTAACTGATGACCCAGAGGTTAAAGGAGGTCAAGTAGCGCTCTGACAGCCCAGCAGCAGCTGCTGCTGCTCAGCTGTATGCACTCTCTCTGCTACTGTGTGTTTTCACTGTGAATGTACGTCACCTGTGATGACAGTTAAACAATCTGTGACCTGCACAAGGTGATGAAAACAAAGCCTTGTACTGTGTTGTATTATGGGTTGGTGCTTTAGGGCTTTAGTGCCTCAGCTCCTCTGTGTTTCATGAGAAAATACAGTGTCTATAAGCATTAATATGCACCTCCATTAATATACATAATTTCTCCGGACATGCATCTATTCAGGTTCACCTCCAATTTAGTTTTAAGCTATTATTGACCTTTAATTGACAAAACATAGGTGCTAGCTACTAGGAGGTTTTAGCTGCATCTTGTGGCCTTCATCAGCAGATGTAGTTTGCTTAGTTAGTTTTCTGTAACCGTATATGCTGCTGGGGGTCTCAGGGGGCTGGAGCCTATCCCAGCTGACCGTGGGCAAGAGGCGGGGTTCACCCTGGACAGGTCACCAGACTATCACAGGGCTGACACATAGAGACAGACACCCATTCACACTCATATTCACACCTACGGACAATTTAGAGTCACCAGTTAACCTAAAGGTTGACATCATGCTTGTAAATGGACATGTCAGCATAACATACACTCAACAATTAATTGAAGAAGTAGGGATGCTAATTCAGAATATTTTTTGAGACTGATAGCCGACACTCTTGTTTCATTGTAGAGGTGTGTGTAGTGCAATGCATCGCTCAGCGCCTCCTTGCTCTGCTCTCTCTGTAAATCGTGTTGTTTCCTGCTGTAGAGTGAGCGACCAATGGATAGCTACTTATCAAAGACAGCAAACTAGCTCAAAGACATGGCTAAACGCAAGTATGACACTAAATGTCTCATACTGTGTGGACCTTGAACTAATGACTTAGGCGAAATCTGGACCTTGTGACTGGACCAGTTGGAAACCACTGGCATATAGTCCACCCGCCCTGCACACACATGGTGACAGGGCTAACAAAGGGCTTTAACGACAGAGGAGACATCATCACAAATTAGTTGGAACAGTTTGTTGGATGTTAGATGTTGCCGCTGTGTTAGCTCATGCTAACCAGACAGATGCTGAACTGACTATTGGGTGTAATGGCATCAACATAAAGTTTGCTGATCCTTTCTAAAAGTGAAGAGGATTAATATCTGTTGAGGGGGGGCATTGTCTCTCATATAGGTGTCCACCTCTGCCTCTGGGTCATTAGTTTCTTCTTGCTGTGGTCAGCAATGTCATACAACTCCAGCCTGGGCAGCAGCACACTCTCCCGTGTAGTCATCTCCCCAGCAGCGCCAGTATATTATGTGTAACTGTTTAACTGATAGTATTAATCGGTCCAAATTCTTATTGTCAGTTAATGGCTAAACGGATAATAGTTAACATCCCTATAAAAGAGTAATTGACACATTAAACAGTGAAGAAAAATACGTTTTTAGTTGCAGCCTCATGATCATTTTCAGAGTGAGCAGCGTGGTATGAATTACTGTTGGCTTAGGTGAACAGGTGGCAGGTATTCTCAGCTTTCTGCCTATCTTCTTTCTCCCACAGCAAACATAAAAAGCATGTCATCTCTTGCACTGAAAGCTCTCTGTGTTCACCTGTAATGTGGGAAAAAATCGTGTGTGTGTGTGTGTGTGTGTGTGTGAGCTGGGTTTTCTTGTCTTATTTATGAGGTCAGCTGGGCTGGAAGAATGTGAGTGTTTGTTGTAGAGACTGACCTCCTTAGGGAAGAGAGCGAGGCAGACCAGCCAACACACATATCCTTTCTCTTTTCCACAGTTCCTCGAACACACACACACACACACACACACTTGCCGTGCCCTTTCAGATAAACACATACAGTCGGCTCTCCGTCTGTCTGCTGGGAAGGAAGTGCCGTTGCTCTGATGGATGTTGGTACTGTTGGCTAGACACCCATCCCCCCTCTCTGTTTCCCTCTCTCTGTCTTTCTCCTTCCATCAATGCCCATTGTGCCTGTTTACCAGATTACAGTTCACAGTGCTTTGATGGAATTACGCCTGTTTAAGCCGGACTTACTTTTTATTTTTTCAGCCTCAAGTGGACACATGGCCTACAGTGAACCCACTGCCTCAGGACGCAGGTGGACAAAGTTTAAATGTGGTTAAAGTGGCTTTTTGACCTCCATGTTTATATTGACTGGTGGCTTCCAAAGAGCAAAGGTTCTCAGAGACACAGCAGTGACAGTGAAAGCTTAAAACATTTTCTTCTGCATTTGTAAATTCAATTAAAGTCAAAGGCTCCCTGTGGAGTTGTCTTGTAAACAGATGCCAGTATGAATGTTTACAGTCTGTGTTTCTCACCAAAACACAGCGTGTATCCCCGAGGCCCAACAAACCCGATGAATGCGTTTCCTGTTTCCATAAACATTTGCAAAGTATTTTGAAAACGGCATCGTTTATCACAGTTGGCCATCTATGACTCCTATTTTTTACTGTGGTTTGTTGGGACATTGCTTCGTTTTTATGCATGTTACCACCAACAACCGTGGATTCATGAAAGAGCGTGAAAAAGAATATGCGTTGCGTGCCTGTACATGTGCACTGTGTCCTTGTTCGAAAGTACAAATAGAGTTTGAGATAAAAAAAAAAAATCGAGGACCCGTTATTTTAAAACAAGCAGCAACCTCCGGGGCTGAGTAATGAAGCCAACGCGGAAGTGCCAAAAACAGCAGTTCTTTGAATGGCTGCGTGAGGCTGGCTCCAGAAACAAGTCAATCCCCACAGACCCCAATGTTAAAATAATCAGCTTTACAATAGAAATAAACATGTTTACAACCTGGTACAAAAAAATGATTTTCGTCTCTGTAACTAACTTTGTGCGGCATCACCACAGTCTAATGCAGGATTTATACTTCTGCGTCAAATCGACGCCATACCTTTGGCGTAGGCTCTTCATTGATGTAGTGGAAACCAGACCATCCGTGATGTTGAACTTGACACACCAGAAAAAAACCCAGAAGGGGATACTCATCCGCTGCAGCTGAATACAACCCTGGTCATCTGGCAAAGAGAAAGGAGTCTATGACTTATTTTTAACAGGTTTCCCCACTTGTAAAAAAAACCCCCACTTACATTCACTTATTTTGGTGGAAAAAAGGTATATGAGTCACATCCGTCCTTCACTACTCCGCAGCTCCACCCTCTCATCATTTATGGTAATTTCTGGCTCTAAAAAATCAAGATGGCGACAACAGAAATGCTGAATTTGAAACTTCAGAGTTCACAAACCAATGGGTGACGCCACACTAGCTACATTCATCATTTTATCCAGTCTGTGGTTAAAACATTGCTCAATAGTGGCATCAGTGGTTAAGAAACTCCACCACACCATGACTCGTCTCACCCGTGCAAGAGATGCACAGTCATTCAAAGTATTTTTTCTGCTGCAAGAGAACACTTTTTACTGTAGTTTACAATTAATGACATCTTCTTGCAACTCAGACAATGAGTTCAAATAATTGAGGAAAGTGAAAATGCCAACAATAATGTCGATAAGAAGTTGAATGTGCACTGTTGTCTTTTAAAATTGTTTAAAAAGCAAGAAACAGTTAAACAGCAGTTTGCCATTTTCCACAGGATTTTGTCATATTGTTAAATTTAGAAAAACATAAATAAACACAGAGAAAATTCCTGGATTCCCATAAAACCCATTAAGGAGTCTTAGCGAGACTTTCATTCATTGAGGGTTCAGATTAACATAAACCTGGGTCTCATCAGCGTATTTGTGAACACTAATATTTTGTCTCCACATTCAAAGGAAAACTACGAGACGTCATTGTGTAGTAAAAGCTCCACGATGGCCTTGTGTGGAATTTGTGTAGTGTAAAGGAAGCCTCGACACTCATGTCTATGTGCATGCCAGTGTGGTTGTGTGTGTGTGCTGGTGTTGCTGTGGTGTCACCGGGCTGTCGCGGCCCTTTTGTGCAGCCCTGAGTTATGTGAAGCTGGATCTCCGTCCCTGTCTTTGTCTGGCCCTGCTCTCCGTGGTCTCCTGCGGACCGGCGCCCCTCATCCTATTTGTCGTGTTCTCTTAATTGTGGACCACAATGCCGTGACCCCGCGACCTTTTCCAACAACAGGGAAATTAATAGTGCTCCTCCCATCACACTCTCGGCCAGTCATCCAGCCAATGAGGGAGCCACATGGGGTCTTTCTGCTTGCATCTCACTTCAACCAAAGAAAACAGACTCACATAAACACACACTCGTCCAATGATATCAATGACAGCCAACGACAACAACACACACTTTGTATAGAGACACACTACAAACACACACATTTCTTTCACAGCAAGGGCCTGGGCAACATTTTCACCCCGACAACAGCAGCGGTGTTGGTTGCTATTGGCAGCAGTAGCTATGGCGATGGCAGCCTATAAAGGGATCTTCGATTTGAAGGATGTCCAGGGACCAGACAGGGAGGGAGAGTGAGGGGGAGAAAGACTGTGTGCACTCAGTTAAGGACACCCAGCACCCTCATGGTCACGTGAGGATGTAGTCAATGATGGGGAGGTGTGAGGTCATAGTTTAGTGCACAATGATACCAAAACAAACCCCCCGTTAACATGATAGATGTAGTGACATGAGTAGCATCAATGAACCTGATTGTGCTGCTGAATACTCCCGTCTACTGCCTGTAAATCATGAAGTGAGGCTGCAAGAAAGAACAGCGTCCATCTTCTCTTTTGTTCTCTGCACTCTGCTCTCTGCCTGTATTTTCCTATTTTCTCCTTATTTCGCTGCTGTCAAGACGTTTCTGGGCACAGCATGCAGGTGAAGATGGGACTTAATAAAAAGGTAGCGACCAGGTGTCAGACCATAAGCAGGGATTCAGGGAGGGCCCATTCACTGGACCTTTTCAGGGTCCTAGCCATTCATGTGGGTGGGCCTGAGATCAATTCAGTCTGGCAACTTAAACATGGACCGATCTTCAAACTTACAAACATAATGGACTGCACAGATTTGCAACTGCACAGCCAAATTTTGAAGAAATTTGTCCCAATTTCCTCTTTGAAAAAACAGGCAGTGAGTGCCATGTTTCTCCAGGCAGGTGTTAAAATGACATGTCTCAAAAATTTATTGAGTTTCCTGAGATCACAATAAGCCAAGTAAAACTACAAGTCTGTCTTTGTTAACAGAGGCTAACAGAGGTGATGTTTATTCAGATTGCAGGCTTCTGACGTCTCTTTTGCTGCCTGGAAAATTAGCACAAACTACCCATGGGAACTTTTGCCCGTAAATATCAGAAGGTAACACAATTTGAAATACTACAGCAGATCTCTCTCTATCTCTGATCAACAGGTGATCTACCGCACTCTCCCAAAGTGGGAATCCTTGGATCCATTCGGGGCGGAGGGCCAGCAGCAGCTGAGGGTGACCAACATCCGAATCCGACTGCTGAAGCAGCAGCCATGTCCCTGCCAGGCCAAAGACCTCGCCTCCGCCAACGAAGCTCTTCCCACTCAACACTTCGCCATCTACGACCTGATAGTGAAGGGAAGTTGCTTCTGTAACGGACACGCCGAGCAGTGTGTTCCTGCAGCGGGATACCAGCCCATCAGAGACCGCACCAACCATGTGGTAAGAGAGGAGCACTGAGTGAGTGTATCAGCTCATCATTCAAGAGTTTTTTTTTTTACGATAAAAGTGCTGGGGGGCATTGTCACCTCGCAGCAAGACGGTTTGGGCTTCGAATCCACCGGCCGGCCGGAGCCCCTCTGTGTGGAGTTTGCATGTTCTCCCCGTGTCACCTTCTACAGGGTTGTTTCTTATGAATTACATGCACCACACATTTTTATTACTGCCCCCTGCAGTGCACGTTTGAGCAGGTACCTGTGAATGAGCAGGAGATACAAACAAAATGTGAAATGGCCAAACAAACTCATGCGCCACTAGTGGTCAAAAACTCTATAGGGTACCTTTACACTTTGAAATTTAACTTTAATACTATTGACATACTGTCATTGCTTGAATGTTCAATTTGACCTTTAGATCTTTCTCTGAAAAAACTAGGACGTGCTAAGATTAAGATTTGTTTTGGGGTTGTTTTGTTTACCAAGAAACTACCAATACTCGTATTTCCAATGCAAATAAGCTTATTTGAATCCTTGATGCCGTGAGACGAACGCACCACTCTCTCTTCACTCTGCCTTTGTTCTGACGTACAGACATTTCTTTCACTGGCTTTGTTATTTCTCGTGAAGTAATCACACCCCATGGGCAGGCTTTTCCCTTGTTCTAAGGAAGATTATAAGGCTTGATACTCAGAGACTAAACAGCTTGTTCACTTTGTGTTGACAGTCGTCTTAATAACAGAGTAAAGAACGGCGGTTCACCTTTCTCTCTCATGCTCCCTCTGTTCTTCTGGCTCTGTCCGCTCAGATAATCAGCTGCCTTTCCTGTTCATACCAAACACAAGAGATGCAGATATTGATTCAAGGGTTAATGATGGTGCTGATGTGTTAATGAAGGTGTGAACAGACACAGGCAGTTCTGGATTGTTGTTCCTGGAGAAGTGTTGGAGAGTTTATGCTCCTATCGCAACCATCTCAACAAACACAAACGTCTGTTCTGCTGTAATCAGCGAGGCTAGACGGGGAAAGCGAGAGTCAACAAGGAGTTTCCCTCACAGCTTACATAAGCAAAGACATTTAGACAGATAAACAACAGTGCTACATCCGTACATACAGGAGGAAAGCCTGACTTGTGTGGGATGTTTGAGAGTGATAGCGAGTTTACACTGGTTTAGATTACATTTGTGTTTCTACACAAACACCCAACAAAACACACGGATATCTTGTTTTTAAAGATTTGCAAACATGATATGTACTGAAATAAATGTTTTACAGTTGGAAAACACATTTCTCTCTGAATGACAACTTATGTAATGGTGTCACTTGTTGTCATCTAGCTCCAGTGGTGGAAGAAGTGCTCAGATCTTGCACATACCAGTGCAGTAAAAGTCAGACCAGATCAAATGCCTACTGCTCTTGATTGGTCAGAATCTCCATGTGGGAAAAATCCAGGAAGTAAAGCAAACGTTGAAGAAGAGTACACTTGCAAGATAAATGTGACACTTTCTAATGTCACAATGGAGGGACAACTACGCAGGTTGATTTTAGCGCTGCTCATCGTGGACTATATTGCTGTCATTGTCATTTTAGTCAAACCATACAGTTTGAAAACGAGGCGCGGCTCCAACTAGAAAACAATGTTTTGATGCATTGGATGTGCTGAATGTGCATATTAAGGCAGTTCAAGAGGAGGTGCACATTAATAATCCTCCAGGACTGTAACATGCTCATGTTTAACCCAAACAATGTGTCTTGTGACTGCAGTTGGTTCACATCCAGGTCGGAACACGTCTCACCACAAACGAACCGCACCAGAGTTCGTTTGTAACCAGACTGAGACCACCTCTTCAAGAAGGTCTTGGTCCGGTTGTTTTGGTGCACACCTGAGTGTGACTGCTGTGTTCACACCTGCCCAAACAAACCGCACTGAGGGGGCAAACGAACTTGAGTTCAATTAAACCGAACCAAACAGGGCAGGTGTGAAAGCACCCTTGGTGTATATTATATTTAGAGTATTTTCACAGCTTTACCTTGCTGTCAGACAGCAATTTCTGACAAGGATCTGAAGCTGTTAGTGGTCTCTTCAGTTCCACACAGGACCCACAGGATTTGTCCATTATATTTTGTAGTAATAATAGAATCTGCAAAGTAACTAAAGCTATCAAATAAACGTAGTGGAGTATACACATAAAGTAGCAGAACATGTAAATACTCAACTAAAGTAAAAGTACTTTCTGGTCTGTTTGACATCCTGTAAGTCAGTTAGTGCATGACATGATTCAATGACATATTCTGTACCGTATCAGATTCAATAAATTGCATCCTGACAAGCAGCTGATACGAAGCAGATGAAAATGTTTGGTGTAACATGTGATTAATGAATGAGACGATTCATGTGTTTTCTTTGCAGATACCAGTGTTTTCTCGTAATGAAGCTGTTGATAGCTGATTTATTAGACGCAGTCTCTAAATCTTAAAATCTGAATATTTTCATGCCAAGAAATTCCAAGTGGCTCTACGGCGTGTTTTCATCAGGATATCCTTCTTTTGAGGGCAGCAAATTTCCTGAAACAGTCTTCACACCACGGGGCTGTGAGACCAGCCAGAGAAATAATAATAACAATATTTAATAATACATCATTTTAATGCTTCCTTGCATGTCTGACGTACATTTGTCATCACAAGTATCAGTCCAACTGCACCTGAGAGTTCAAGTTTGAACAGTAAATCCTTCTTAACCGTCCTCACAACATTACCTCAGGTCATCGGAGCGTTGTTCTGCCGTGTGCCATGCAGGCAGCGTTCAGTAAACACACAGACGTTATATAAGTGACTGTTCCAGCAGTTTTATCAGCAGTTTGTTTTGTGTCTCTGTTTCGACTGAGAGCCGCCGTTTATGACAAAACCCAAACAAACAGAGCTGCACAAGATGGAAGATGAGGGCAGAGATTACCGATCGCTCAGGGAAGGGCGTGTGCAGCGATGAAAGGAGTACTCAGGTCCTTTACTTCAGTAAATGTACTAATAACACACTGTGCAAATACTTCAACACGAGTAAAAGTCCTGCATTGAAAACCCTGTGTAAAAGTATGTAGGTATTGATTGTGTAGTGAAATGTTCCCTGTCAGTGTTTTACTATTATATCTGATGTTTTTGGATTCATATTTTGCATTTTACTGCTGTAGATGTTTGAGGTTGGGCTCATTTTAACTCCTTTATACACTGCTGGGTAGTTTAATCTCAACCCAGTCTCACATCAAAATGTGTAACAGCCATGTTAGTCCATTAGCTTCACAATTATAGCTCTAAAATTGTGAGATGCCTACATTTTTTGGCCTATTCTTTTCTATTAGCCTGCGTCCTTGTCATGTCAATGCCCAGCGTCTTTCTTTGAAGCAGAAGAAATGGCGGACATTTGATCTGTTGTCTGGTGAAAATGCAATATTTAAAAAGGCAGTGGAATGAGGCACATCCATGGCACACAGTCCAAAACAGTAGTTAGATGTGCCATTTCTGCCGACAACACAAACCAGGAGGATCATGGGTAATGTAGCCTTCTGCTATGAGTAGGTATAACTGCAGCTGGAGCAGATACATGCCCTTCCTTCTTGCTATGGCTCACCCAGCATACCTACACGTCAGTACATGATCAGCCGCCTTCACTCTGTGGCCCGGAAGCGGACGTTCCGATGAAATTGCTAAGTTAGCAATTGGCTAGCTATGAAGTATTACGTTAAAAGAGAGGTGGTTAAGACAGAGAACGTTGCTAAACTAGCTGTGTCCCTGTCACAGGCTGCAGCCTTCGAAGGCTGCATTTGAAGACCGATTGCGTCACATTGGCGTGACCAAGGCCGTCCCATTTTGAAGACTCGGCCGGGAAATGCAGCCTTCTTTCCCAAAATTTGGAGGATGCCACAGATGAATCCTTCGTTGCCCAGCCTATCCCAACATGCATTGCGCGCCTGTGACGATTATATATATATTGAGTTAAGTTAACTAACCATTGTTAACTAGCTAACGGTTAACTGTTGCTAACGTTACTATTAGCTAAAAGCACACAGCTTAAACAATCTTAATTTAATAAGTTTACCTGAAAACAGTCCATCAGCCTGAAATATATCAGACAATGATTCAAACAACACACCAGCTACATTGGTTTAGCATAGCAACCACCATAGCAACAATAGAAAATGTCGTATTCCAACAATTTTCTGACGAGGCCTGACATAATCTCCATAATAACCAATAAACTTAACATCATGAACATTCTCTGAAGGAAGATTGTGAAAATACAAGGCACATTTCTCACTGGAAATGCTTTCAAAATGCATTTTAATGCTGAAGTTATCTTAAAATATTATATTTTCTACTAACACCATAATGAATGTCCACCTTTTTTGTCAGTGTTTTCAAAAAATACATTTGCCTGTCACATGACGAGGACGAAGGCCAGTAGAAAAGAATTTTCTCAATACACAAAGAAGCGCTTCATTGTTTGGTTTATCACAAACATTAAAAATCATCATCAGGTGTGGAAAAACTGTGGTCTGAATAGTAACTAGAGCCGCCAGACAAATGTAGTGAAGTAAAAAGTACAATAGCAACCTTTGAGATGCGGTGGAGTGGAAGTATGGAGTTAAATAAAATGGAAATACTGAAGAACAAATTCAAGGTTCTTGTACTTGACTCAAGTACAGTACTTAAGTCATTTTTGGGCTCCCCAGGGTGTCTTCCTATACACTAAGTATAGGGTGCAGCATTATATTATTGTACAGTGTTTGGACTGCTGCATGTTAGGCATGTGAGCTTAAGCATGCAGTGTTTTGTCTGCTTTTAGAGTGTGTGTGTGTGTGTGTGTGTGTGTGTGTGTACAGTAATAATCAGCGGTGAAAGTGGCCCTCAGATACGTCGAGTCATTACTGCTCAGACACTGTGAGACTAAAAGACCAGTTTGTTTGTTGTTGTTGTTTTGTGCTCCTGTGCCCCCACATGGGGATTTTTGCGGTTCAGGGTGATTACACTGTCTGTTAGTTAGCTACAAAGCCAACACACACACACACACACACACACACACACATAATGACATATGGACAGCTACTGAAGCATTAACAGCAATTAGTCCAGTCAGGACATGTGTGTTTGCTTTAATACAATCTGTCTGTCTCTCTTACCGTCTTGCTTTTCATTTATGTCACTTACGTCTTCTTTATGTTTTTGACTCATTCATCTTGCACATTCTCAGTCTCTCTTCTACAGACACAACACTCCGCCTGTCTTTATGCCTCTGTGCCAGTGATAGCCATGGCCGGAGGCATTATGTGTTTGGGTTGTTTGTCCCATTCTCATGAACACGATACCTCGAGAACACTTCAAGGGGATTTCTTCAAGTTTGGCACAAATTTCCACTTGGACTCAGTGATGAACGATGTGATTGTGTTTGGTGGTCAAAGGTTAAGGTCACTGTGACCTTACATCTGTCCCATTCCTTTCTCATTCTTAGACAATCTGGTTTAAATACATATACTACTTTTCACATCGTCACCTCATGCATTGAGTAACACACCAGACAACTCACCTTAAGTTGCTGGTAGCTGCTTGTAGTAGCTTTTTTTTCCTCAGTACGCAGCTAGCTTTAGTTGACCTATGTATGTAAATTTGCCACTGTAGGAACAGTGGTTGCATAAAGCTTCAAAATGAGCCACGACTTGTCATGGGGGAGAGTTCGTGCCTCAAGCAAGGGAGTTCAAGTATCTTGAGGGAGTTCAAGGTCTTGTTCATGAGTGAGGGTAGAATGGAGTGCAAAATGGCTTCGGCGGTTTGGTGCGACATCTGCAGTGATGCAGGCGCTGTGCCGGACTGTTGTGGTGAAGAGGGAGCTGAGCCAGAGGGCGAAGCTTTCGATTTACTGGTCCATCTACGTCCCAACCCTCACCTATGGTCATGAGCTCTGGGTAGTGACCAAAAGAATGAGATTGCGGATACGAGTGGCCGAAATGAGTTTCCTCTGTGGGGTGTCTGGGTCAGTCTTAGAGATAGGGTAAGGAGCTCAGACATCTGGAGGGAGCTTGGAGTAGAGCCGCTGCTTCTTCGCATTGAAAGGAGTCAGTTGAGGTGGTTCAGGTATTTGATCAGGATCCTCCTGGGCACCTCCAGTTAGAGGTGTCCCGGGCACGTCCCACTGGTAGGAGGCCCCGGGGCAGACCCAGAACACACTGGAGGGATTACATATCTCATCTGGCCTGGGAATGCCTTTGGGTCCCCGAGGAGGAGCTGGAAAGTGTTGCTGGGGAGAGGGACGTCTGGGGTGCTTTGCTTGGCCTGCTGCCCCCGACCCAGCCCCAGAGAATCGGATGAAGATGGATGGATGGATGGATTAATAATTTCTATAATAAAAAATCGATTCTTGGAGTCTGTGTATTGATACGATGTCGCCACGTAATAATATCACAAAACTATGCTGTATTGATTTTCTTTCCTCCATCATCGTCATCGGCGATCACCTGAAGTCAAGTATGATGGTCCTCCCTGGGTGTCCTTGTTGTGGGTCTTCAGATGGCTGAAGAGGCCAATTCTGGAGCCACAAACTTTCTTGCAGTGTGGGCATGGATGTTGGGTGCTGGCGGTGGGATGTGTGGGGGCCTGCTTGGTGGAGAGCCTCTCCTTCCTCTGCTGCTGCCTGATTCTGGCAGCCTGTTGGAGATGATCTTCATGGAAAGTGGCACCTTTATGCAGGCAGTTTCTCCATGCAGGTCTTTGACTGGCAGTAGCTTCCGAGTTTGAGCTGTTGATGTTGAATTTTTTGAGACTGGTTCTAATGTTGTCTTTGTAGCGCTTTTTCTGGTCTCCTGGTGCATGTTGACCGGTGGAGAGTTCAGAGTAGAGGACTTGTTTTGGAGGGCGCCCAAGCTGCAGAATTTAAGGCTTTAAGCTTACGATTGTGTCCTTGTTAAGATCTTCGTTGTCACTTGCTTATTTATAATGGTCACGGAAACAGTAAGAACATTACGGAGCAGAAGTTTTAAGATTCCAACATTATCTGTTTGCTATCAGTGACTTCCAGAAACATTTCTATCAGCTCTCAGCATCACACATCAGTCCGGCTCTACTGTGTCCTGTGAATGACAGAGTTTACATGGTTGCGTGTGTGCAACTCTCAGTGTGTACATGTGTTAATTGTCCCGTATCACGGTATGGTAAACATGTGAAATGGGTTGAAATACCAGCTGTCTGGACCCGAGCCAGCTGCTGCTGCTGCCCTCTTCCTCTTCTTCTATGTTTTTTTTCTTTTTCCGCGCCCCTCGTTTCTCTCCACTCGTTTCCACTTTTCCATTAATTACTTCTTCTTTTTCATTTTTGTGATATGTGTCATTAGGTCTCCTGCCGCCTATTTTCCCGGACCTCTCATTTATGCAATTGCTCCCCTTATTAGTGTGATTGAAATGGTGTGTGTGAGATCAGTCATGTGTGTTCACCTCTACATTGCAGGACTGATCTGGGGTCAGGTCATGCAGAGAACATGTTGTATTCCATAGCATGTGGATGTGTTTAACTCTGTGCTCAGTGCAGTGTGTGAATCCGAGCTGTCACACACCGTGGGAAACAATCGCAAGAATTGGTGTGTGTCTTTGTGCGTTTGCAGTTATTTTCTGTGGCAATCAGTGTGTGTGTCTACCTCTGCGATGGTTGTATAATAGTGTGTGTGTCCGTCCTACATTACAGTTGCACGGTATAACGCAAACAAATAAAGAGCTTCCTCAGATGCCTTGCCCCCCTCCCTCCCTCCTCTCCTTCAATCATTATCCAGCATGCATGGCATTCCAGCTCACAGGAATGACAAGGAGATTGTTATTGTGCTCTCAGCGCTGCATACTTGCACTCTTCTCATACACACACACTCGTATACGCACACACACACAGGCTTTTCAGACCAGAGGCCCGTTCTTGTTTCCAGTGATGAAGCCAAACAATCAATCTCCATTCACTAATTTTCAGGCGAGGCAGTACGAGAGAGTGGAAGAGATGGAGTGAGAGGAAGTGGAGAAAAGCAGAGAGTGAGTCACACAAAATGAGAAAGAGAAGAAGAAACAGAGAGTGTGAAACCTAAGAGGAAGTCCTAACATGCTTGTCCTCACATGGGAACCTTTCCTCTTCATCACACTGACCTCTTTGTTCCTCCCATCCTTCCATCTCGACCTCTGTCCATCAGTTTTGCTTGTTGCTAATGAGCTCCCTCTGTCTTCCTCTTTCTCTCAGGTCCATGGGAAGTGTGTGTGCAGACACAACACTGCAGGTGATCACTGCGAGCGCTGCTCTCCTCTCTACAACGACCGACCCTGGCAGCCCGCTGATGGACTGACGGGCGCTCCACACGAATGTCGGAGTGAGTCAAACAAACACAGTCACACCTTTTCCACCACAGGAACTTAAGACAATCACCATGTATCCCTTTTTACCTAGTTTAAATCCCTCCCCAGTCAAGAATGTGTTATTCTTATGTTTATGTCCCCTAAAATGTCCGACCTTGACTATACTGGCTTGTATCTGTGGAAAGTTTGTCACCAGGGAGGTGTTCACATTCCTCTACATTACTCTATCTGTTCACTTCCCTTAAATCTAAAGCCTGTTTCAAACTGCACAAGGCCCCAAAACTCAGAGCAGAAAAACACCCCACATCATCTCTTTTTTCCACTGCCCAATCAGATGATTTGAGAGGCGGGCCTTTTGAGGTGGTCACGACAACAAGTTTACAGTTGGTAAACAATGGAGGAGAAACTGGTGGTAGCGGTTGCTGGATACCCAGAGCTATACGGCCCGACGATAGACAGCAGGTTGTCAAACTGCCCCTGAGTCATCCTAAAATATGCCTGGAAACAGCCATCATCGAGGCGAAGCTCCTGGACCAACTGGTGGTACTCCTCATGATCCACCATCTTTTTTAGGGTCTCATGATTATATATCTCATCTGGCCTGGGAACACCTTGGGGTCCCCTAGAAGGAGCTGGAAAGCGTTGTTGGGGAGAGGGACGTCTGGAATACTTACTGCCCCCACAACCCGGCCTGGGATAAGCGGTTGAAGATAGATACTAGATGGATGGATGCAAATATGTACCGAACTCAAATAAAATGTCTCACTAAAGTCATTTTAAATTCAGTGCTTCTCCTAGAAAATCCACCGATAAATATATAACCAATATGAACCCTGTATTTTAGTCCAAAGCTGCAGTGACTGACAGTTCCTGTTGGTTTCCTCCCTCTCACACCAGAGTGTAAATGTAACGGACACGCTCAGAGCTGCCGTTTTGACTGGACGGCATGGCGTGAGTCTGGCCAGCGCAGCGGAGGCGTGTGTGACTGTCTGCACAACACAGAGGGACGTCAGTGTCAGAAATGCAAAGCCGGCTTCTACAGAGACCCACAGAGACCACAGACGGCCCCCGACTCCTGCAAACGTAAGATACTAACACACACGTCACATCTTTCTAAACGCTGTAGAGGGCATATAGAAAATCCTCATAATGCAGGACTACACCAGCAGGTGACTTGTGTCTAATATTTTTTCAGCCTGACCACATAATATATGCCCTCATTAAGCAGTCTTTCTTCGACTCGGCCCTAGTTGGTGCCTGTTTGCATGAGATCAGCTCAGGAATTTCACCTGTGTATATTAGATGCAGGGACGTATCCATCATTCTTTGCAAACCACGACGTGTAGAACACATTGTAAAAATGTCATAATGCAAAATTAATCACATCAGTGTTGACAAAATGTTGCTGGTGTGAATCATGACATCAACCTCATACATACCACACTGGCACAGTGTCTCACTCTCACAAGGAATGCTGAGGACTGAGATCGCAAGCTGGGACGTGCTGGATAACTCTGATACCTGATGGGCACCTGGCCCTGTGTGTGTTTGTGTGTGTGTGAGACAGCAGACGGCCCACGCTCCAGCCAACGTTTACACCATAGTTAATCATCAGATGGTGGCATTCCTTCGTCCTGACTCAAAGCTCGACACAAACACACACACCCCTGCACGTCCATCTCGGGCTTGTTTTGCCATTTTTCATGTTTGACTCAGAGCTCGAGTAGCTTCAGGGTAATCATTGGTAGTAGTGTGTGAGGGTCCTCTGTCTGTGTGTATGTGTGTGTGTGTGAGCAGCGTGCTGCCCTCCGGTGATGAGACGAGTCTTAAGTAAACACACGATAGTCATCCGTAAACACAGAGCAGTGGCTACATTCCCCGTCTGATTATGTGTCAGATTTGACCCAGTGAGCTTAGTCCTGCAGGTATGCTGGACTCACCCACAGTTACTACATGAGTGTGTGTGTGTGTGTTCATGTAGGCACACCCTTTGAATTTAAAACAACTTTCAAATTGCACCAAACCATTCAAAAACATCTCGGGGGGAGAATGTTGGCTAACAGCCCAGTTGTGACATGGGGTGTTACATATTTTATAGAGATCATATAACAGAAATTTAAACATTTCTTAGGAAATGTTTAAATTTTTACACCCCTCAACCCAACCCACCACCTCCTATATCTCCATAAACAAGTAAATAATACAAAAATAATAATTAATAGGAGTAGATTACAACAGTCAAGTCTACAGCAATGCTAGCAGCTCAAAGAGGCTGTACTATGAGATAAATGCTAACATTAGCATGTGATAAGCAGGTATGATGTTTAACGTGTTATTTTAGCGTGTTAACATACTAACATTAGCTTAATTAGCTAATGTTAGCATGTTAACATGTGGAACTTAGTACTTTGTGTTTGGTGCTAATTAAATTAGCATGAAACACAAAGTACAACTTTGACTCATGGGAATGCCATTAGTTCTGAGGTATCTGGTCATAAAACAAAGTATTTGACCAACAGAAATTTTGATGTGATGGGGCACCAGAGTTATAACTGTTCATCCTGAGGGGGACATGAATAATCTGAACTAAATTTCATGACAATTCATCCAATAATTACTGACATATTAAACTCAAACTCACAAATGTGAACCTCATTTGCTAATTATTAGCAAAAGTTAGCATGCTAACATGCAATTCACTGAAAGCCTTTACGCACCGGCCCTGTTTTTTCAGTGCAATTACTTTCGCAAAGAATGTAAATATTGTGCGGCAAAAAGGGACATAATATTATAATATTGAACATTTCACTAAAAGGAAACTCAGTAAAATAGCTTAGTTTCCTCAGACAGACTGACAGATGTTGCTCTGGGTCAGGATCCCAGTAGTTTTCACAAATTTTGACTTTATCCAGCTAGCAAGCGAGTATTTTGCATTTTCATGTTGTTTATTTATGTCACCTCCAATGTGTAACGGTCCTAAGATGGTGGCAAACATTACACCCACCTAGCATCAGCTTGTTAGCATGCTAACGTTAGCTTGTAGCTCATAGGACAGCCTCAAAGAGCTGCTGCTAGCGTAACTGTAGACTCTAGTTTTTAGCCATATATCTTTAACCTTGTCACAATCATAAAGCAGGTACACCAACCAGCATAAATACTTTTACTTTTACTTAAAGACTTTTACTTCTTAGTTTGAGCCCAGGCGCTTTGCTTTCTATCTATTCAGGATCTTCTTTTGGAGCAGAGGTATGCCAACAGGATACAGCCTCATTGTTCTCCAGTATTTTATTAGTATTTTATTAGTTTTATCTTATGTCTTTTCCCCATGCCAGCTGAAGACCATAAAACTTTTGGTGTTGATGTCTCAGATAAGATCATAAAAAACTGATGCATCGCCCATTTTGTGAACAGACAGATTGGATTTCAGTGGTTGGGTTGGGTTTCATGTGTGTTTTTTTTTTTGTACCTGAACACTCACCTGTGTACGGAGGCTGGGGGGCTAATGATCCCCAATGACAGCTGATGGATAGAAAAAAGGAGCGACAGCATGCTTCGGAGAACCCCTGAGACAAAGGTACAGGTTGTGAAATCCCGCTGACAATGGAGGAATTTCCCTCCGTCGTGAGGAACATTTTTTTCATACCAGGCTCCGAGGGGCCCTGGAAAGAAAACACTCCTGTCAAGCTCGTACACACCAAACTCTTTAGTGGGGGGATAGTTACAGCGTGTGTTTACATACAGTATGTATGTGTGGGATGTTGCTCAGGCAGGTGTCTTGTCATGTCTCATGAAGCTTTCATTGTCAGAGCTCCTTTAGATTTCCAACACACACACACACGCATATCTACACACGAGGCCTCGTGTAGTGACCCCCGTCAACTACTCATAAATTCTCACGCAGATATGTAAACACACGCGCTTACCAAACACATCGTCACACGTGTTTTTGCTTTACATGGAACTGAGGTGGTGCTGTAATCTGGGTTAATTATTAATGTGTAGAGGCTGCTCAGTAAACAATCGTGTAGATAAGAGCCTGATACACACACAAGTACACGCACACAATGTCTTGTAATGGACAATACAGTGTTTGTATGTCTTGTGTGTGCTTGTGTGCATGTCTATAAAGGTGATATCTTTATGATTTTATTGATATGGCGCAGCTCGATCTCATGATAGGGTTTATCTTATCCTTCGTTGCCTCAGCTGATTGGTCAGATAAACTGTCTGGTTTGTAGTTTAGCGAGGTTAAGATGACATCGCTCTTATAGGCTGAAGACACCGTGGGAAACGTGTCATTCCGGATATCATTTTATTGAGGGATACAGGGAAAAAAATAACATAAAATACAAAATAAATCACATATCATTTTTGGAAAAAGGAAAACAAACAATGTAATGCAAAATATTGCTCATGTTTTTTAAAGTACCTGTTGTTCACGTCTGTTTTTGTCTAACCAACAGTCCAAAGCATAAATATTTGATGTGCAATATACAGCATCTTTAAAAACATTTAATGCTATGCTAAACAGTCACAACAGCAGTGTACAGGATTCAGTAGCATCTACTGTTGAGGATTGCAGATTGCAACCAGCTGAAACTTCACCCATGTGCCAAGCGTGAACTCCCAGTTAGAATTCCTTCAGTGTTCATTGTTCAGGAGGTTTTAACCGAGAGCTGAATTATTCACAGAGGTCTCTTCCTCTCCAAAAGAAACGGACTAGTTGATTACAGCTTGTAAAAACACTAAATAAAACAGGTTCATGTTTCAAATCAGTTTTTCTCTGACGCTGTTCGGGTCATTGCAAACGGGCTGCTAGCGTAGCACCTGCTAATGTGCGCTCAGCTTTTTTTCTCCTATACCTTAATATCCAGACATTCACGAGGTTTTCACTGTAAGTCAATATTTCCACAGAGGTCTCTTCCTATCCAAAACAAACGAACCCAGTGATTTAAAGTGGCAAAAACACAAAATAAAGCAGTTTTATGTTAAAAATCTGTTGTTGTTTTTTTTAGTGCTAATCCGCTTTCTAATTACGGTGGCTGACATGAAAACGCGAATGTCCCTATCTAGAGCTGGTGTTTGGTTTGGCTCGTGCTGGGCTACTGTAGAAACATGGCGGGGCAACATGGCAGACTGTAGAAGGGGACTCGCTCCCTATGTAGATATAAACGGCTCATTCTAAGAGAACAAAAACACAACAATGCTTATTTTCAGGTGATCATACACTAAAGAAAACACACTAATTATGTTTATTATATTATACACCAAAGGGTGAGCCAAAATGTCAAGGCACGCCTGTATTTATATCTGTGCACAATGGCGTGTTATCACTCGACATAAGACAATAAAAATAAGACAGGTAGCTTTCATGATACTGTCTACTCAGTGGTAGGTCTTCTTTGCTGGTGCTTTGTGATAATTTGCTCCATACAATAAAGCAATCCATCGTCTCATGGCTTTCTCCTTTTAAATGTTATCATTACTCACACTGGCTGCCAATCAGGGCTTTACATGTTTAACACACTTACAATTCCCATGCGCCAACGGCAACAAATAAGTTCCCTCTGAAGGTTTTTTTAATTCAACTGAATTAAATTGCAATTTTTAGCAAGAGTTTGCCTCTTGCGACTGGCATCACAGCACCACAGTGTGCCATGGCACGCCATTTGAGACCCACTGCTTTAAGGTATACTTCAAATATAAAATAATTGGAAAAATTCAAAATACAACACGTGAGGTAAACACACTTAAAGTTGCAAGTTTCTACGAGTGACATGGCTGTATAAATGTCTTATGATTTCATGAACATCTAGCAGAAAACTAGTCTTATAGGTTCCTCAATTTTTAGACAAAAATGGAAATTGAATCATCTACATATTTTATGACAACTGGGCAGTTCATGTGATCCAGTCGAAAGCTCCAGAACAACCACTAAATGGACCTGCATGTCATCGAGGTCAAAAATGAGCTTTAAATCTCAGCCTTTTATAGACGCGTTTTTCTTGTATAGTTATTTTTTGTTTACAGCAGTCATGGATTTAACATGATGTCATAAGCTTTGGTTTGACAAAACCCAACTTCCCGAACTACTACTATGACTTTTTTTCCTTATAATCTTTAGTCAAACACTGAGAGAGTGCAGAGAGACAGACGGGCCTCTGGGTGTACAGTAAGTAGTTAGAGTCATTTACTGCCAGTCGAGCTTCAAGCATCATTAAATAGCAGAGAAATGGCTCCAAACAACACCCCCTCTTTGTTTCTCCCTCCTCGTCTTCTGCTTCTCCTTCAACACCCCTTCCTCCTCCTCCCCGTCTGCCCCCCCCGAAATAGAGACAGATTTATGGGGGAGGCCTGACACCTCGTCCTGCGAAGGCTCCGGGTCCCAGTGTTGATAACAGCAGAGAGACAGCAGACAGTAGTTTTCTCAGACTGCCAGTGGAAATATGGGTGTGTGTGTACAAGTGTATTGTTTTTGGAGGTTGTTTAAAGAACACCCTATCAGCACACAATTAGAGGGGACATGAGGGAGGGAGAAAGCTGTGTGTGTGTGTGTGTGTGTGTGTGTGTGTGTGTGTGTGCGATAAGAAAAAGAGAGAGGCCTTTGTATTACAAGCTCCTGCAACAATGCCAGACAGACAAATAGAACAACTGATGACTGATGAAACACTGAGGTCCTGGTAATAAACTGTAGTTTGCAGGTCAGCAGACTGTCAGCGGTAAAGACCTTTAGACTCAGTGCTCGTCTGTGTGACTTCTTTGTTTTCTGAGATATATTTGTATCTTTGCAATATCTGGATTGTTCAGACGATCACGTTCCCCAGAGGATGAGTCCTACTGACTTTTTGTCTGACACGGTTAAGTTTAATTTGTCCAGTACCTTGGTGTATGACCAAATGCTTGCAAAACTAATGACAACTATGACATATTTTAACCAAATATCGTACTTCAAGCAGCAACCTCCAAGAATGAAAAAAAAAAAAAGGCCGGTGCAGATGTGCCATAAACTCATAAACTGCAGTTCCTCTAATGGCCACTTGAGGCTGACTATGCAACAGTGTAAATCCCCATAGACTCCCATGTTAAAATGCCCAACTTTACAGCAGAAATAAACATGTTTTGGCATCTTAAGTTAACTTTTTTTATAACTCACCCGTTTACTTTTTATTGAGGCCCAAAGTTGTGCATATTTAATGGCAGGGCAAGATCAACAAACACACTGAGACACAGGTACACTGATCTGTGATATGGACCATACCTTTGTCACACAGGTGACGATGATTAGATGATGATGTTGCACCATTAGGTGAGGCACATCACAGTCACACAGCTGACAGTGGTTAGATAATCATTCCACAGCATTAGGTTGAGCCAAGAAACAATTTTGAGGCCCTCAGTAAATGTGTTTTATGACATATAACATGAACACACGCTGTCCCTGGTTAGATTCGGACCAGAGAGACCTTTGTCAGCTCTCTGTCTCTCTGTGTTTCCTGTTCAACTCTCTACTCTCAGCTCTCTAAAAAGTCAAAACCGCCAGAACAAGACTGTGTTGAAAATCACATCTAGAAATCTTGGGGCTTCCAATCACAAAAAAGGATTTTCGAACGACATTTATGATGTAAAGAAATCTCACTAAATCAAAATGTCAAAATGCAACATGTAATACCTTCAAATATAACTTCACTTTTTCTCTCCCAGCATGCAGCTGTCACCCGTTGGGCTCTATGCCCTTCCACTTGGCCGACGGCTCACTCTGCGACCCGTCCAACGGAAACTGCATCTGCAAGCCTGGAGTCGGCGGAGCCCACTGTGACAGGTGCATGGTGGGATACTGGGGCTTCCATGAGTATGGCTGCCGTCCATGTGACTGTGCAGGAGACTGTGATCCATTTACTGGAGACTGTATGTTTGGGTGAGTAAAAGTTATCCTTTTAGAAATATACACAGATGAAGAGTTACTGATATTTATGTTTTATTTTGTTTAAATCTAAAATCTAAGTAGCACACTACGTAGAACTTGTTGGTATGATTTTTATGTAAATGGTAACACGAGGGAAGAGGATTAATGTAGTGCTTAAAACTCAGTCAGCGACCTGGTACAAATGAATGAAGATAACCGATAGTGTAAACACTGAACTTAATATTAACACTGAGAGTGCCCCAGTTTACAGTTTCTCAGTTTCTCAGTTTTTAGAGGTGGGTGCCAAAATTGTCGGTGGCCGAAAAGCTACTTCCAGATTAGTTCTCTGCTAACTTGAATGTGGATAAAAATGATTTTATTGTAAATGGTAAATGGATTGCACTTGTATCACACTTTTCGAGTCTTCCAACCACTCAAAGCACTTTTACACTATATGTCACATTCACCCATTCACTCACACATTCACGCAGTGGTGGCCGAGGCTATCGTACAGGGTGCCTCCTGCTAGCCATTCTCTCACACTAACATACCAATGGACCAATGGAACAGCCGTTGGGAACAATTTGGGTTCAGTATGTTCCCAAGAACTTGACATGCGGACTGGATGGGAACGAACTGTAGATCTTCGAATTTGTGGACTTCCTGCCCTACCTCTGAACCACAGCCGCCCATTTTGCGGCTCTTCTAGACTTTCAAAAAGTTACTGGACCAAATGTATTGAATTCCAATAGTGAAACATGTTATTTCTCAGGGGTTGTGATGCTCAAAAAAAAAATCAGTATGAACTGATTTACAGATGTCTCTTACAAGTCTATGGGAAGTCCATGGGAAAAAATCTTTCCGGGCCCAATGGTAGCCTTGGACCAAGACGTTCATTGCATGGTTAATTGCATGAACGTCTTGAAAACGAACCCCGTTTTTCGTTTGGGGTTTCCCGGTCTACACCGATTCACGTCTCCATAAACATTCAAATCAAACATGTAGGCTCTAGCCTTGGACCAAGACGTTCATTGCCTCTTACTACCAATGTGCAATATACCTCCTAACCGCTATGGTGGCATTGTGGCGCAGTAGAAAGCCGGTGCACTCATTCATTGCAGGACGAAGAACAGGTGAAGAAAATTTCAAGACATCCGAGATAAAATGCATGTTTTATGAACAATAACGGATATACAAACATACGGCAACCCCCTGTACACCTTCCTAACATCTGTGCCTATGAGGTGAGTGCATTACATGTTTGATTTGAACGTTTATGGAGACGTGAATCGGTCTAGACCGGGAATCCCCAAATGAAAAACGGGGTTTGTATTCAAGACGTTCATGCAATGAACGTCTTGGTCCAAGGCTAGGCCCAATGGCATCACGCGAAAGACATGGAAGTTTGAATTCCACTTCAGCCCACTTTGTACAATAGCCTTCAAAGCCCTAGGCTTGGGCAGATGGATTAATTTTCATGTTTTCTCATGTTTGTTTTGCCTTCTCGGTCAGCACCAAAATAAGGTCCATTTAGGGCTAGGAAATATGGAGAAAATCAATCGATGTTGTAGGGTTGACCACTGGTGCTTTCACGAAATATTTACATAATGAGATTTTTGATAAATAATCATAAGTGATGTGGATATGATGACTGCGTGGGTAAAGACAAATAGTAGAACATTTACAGTCTGGTCAGTTTAGAATATTACATCACTGTACTGTGATGCAACCTTTGAAACTAGAAAAAGGCAACAATTCCGACATTACGATATCCAAAATCAAAGATGATATCTAGTGTCATATTGTGATATTGATATATTCCCCAGCCCTAGGTCCATTTAACATTTGTTTAATACAGATTCACATTAACATTCCCATGTCTGTGTTCATGCAGCTCTGATCTGGACCTGTACAACTTAGAGGGAAACTCCAGTGAGCCAGTGAGGATCTTCAGAGTTGACGAACTCTTCTCTGCCCTCCACTACTCAGGTGAGATACAGAGACTGACTGTGTGTGTGTGTGTGTGTGTGTGTGTGTGTGTGTTATTCGTCCTCCTCCACAGTCCAGTGACCAAGCATTAATGGTTAAGTAATGAAAGTCTTCATAGGGCCTTAGAAGGACATGGAACAAAGATGGATGTGTATGTGTGTGTGTGCATGGACAGTTTCCAAATGTCCCCTCTCTTAGTCCCCTCCCCCCCCAACCATGTAACTGCAGCTTTCATAGGCACATTCCTCACTGGACACACACACTGCTCTTGCATTCTTAGGACGCCATGCACAGTATCTGAGACCACATACACACACACACACACACACACACACACACACACACACACATCAGTTATGTTACAAATATTAATCTGTACCTGTCCCCTGCAGAGAAGTGCGAGTGCAAAGAGCAAGCCCTGACCAACAGTAAACTCTTCTGCACCATGAATTATGCATACGGTAAGAACTTTTTGCATTCCTCTCGTCTTTGTCATCGTTCTTTTATGATTATTAACATTACTGACACCTGTGTCTCTACCTGACTCTCAGTCCTAAAGGTGAAAGTCCTGTCAGCCCACGATAAGGGCTCCCACGCCGAGGTCGAGGTCAAAGTTCAGAAGGTGCTCACTCAGAACACCAAGGTGAAGATACAGCGGGGTCGGGTGACTCTTTACCCCGAGTCCTGGACTGCACGGGGCTGCACCTGCCCCATCCTCAACCCAGGTCAGACTAACACTCTCCTATGAGTATATCCTCCAGAACAGATCAGAGGTGGAGGTTTTTAAAGGCCGATATCGAGTGTTTATGGTTACAAGTGGTGAAATTCACATAGAGCCTGTTTACACCTGCTATTAACATGCCTCTTGGGTGAGCTGATCACAAGTGGACAGCGTGCAAGAGACTACCAAGATGCATTGTGATACAGTCACTCAAACCACTTGACGAGGTGTTCTGTGACGCATTTGACCACATATCTATTGTAGTGTAAACACTACTTGTCCCCCAACAAGGACTACGTCATCACTGTAGGACATGAGGGTTGTTTTAACCATTTCACAACGAGTTGGACAAAGTGTTGTGTGACTGTCCATCATTTTGCCCCATGGTAGGAATTTCTAGTGAGCAGCTAGGGATAGTGTGGGTGTAATAACTGTGACCTTCTAGTGTATACAATACAAGTGGTCAGCTGGAAATACATGCTAGACCAGGCCCACTGTTGGGGGGTCAAAAGTACAGCTGGGTCATCTGTACTTACATGATAAATTAATTTGGTGTGGTCTAGATTTGACTGCACCAGGTATGACAGGCAAAGCCGACTGTGTCAAACATGACAAGCCCAGCACACCAGCGAATAAGACCCACTAGTCGGCTCAGTTTTTAGCCAAAGTGAAGATATTGGTATCATAAGCTAGACGGCCTAAGGCATCCAGTGGCACCAACCATAATTTGCTATCTTGTTGGGAAGGGACTAAATAATGCTCCAAAGTTACGTTAAATTTTGAAACCCAGAATAATCTGTCTTTTCATGGGATTTGTGGACAATAACAAAAATGTAAAACATTGAAACTCTTCTTGATGATGTACAACAAGATATCCTGATATAAAACAGCAAAATGCAAACTGTTTTAACAAACACATCCCAGCCAATCAGAAAAAAGAAGTATTTTCTGAAGCTTTTGCATAAAGGCTGGTAGCCTTGCAGTATACCTAACTTGTTTTGAGAAGCAGTCGGTACTTCATCAAAGCTGAGTGAGGTTTTTAAAACTGAAACAAGTGTCCCTGACCTTCGATGTGATTTCTCAGGTGTGGAGTATCTTGTGGCAGGCCACACGGACCGTAAGCAGAACCGCCTCCTGGTCAACATGAAGAGCTTTGTCAAGCCGTGGAAAGCCAGCTTGGGGCGCAAAGTCCTCACGTTGCTCAAGAAAGACTGCAACTGGTAGGCGGACTGTTAAAACACTGGAGGACAGACGGACACATGGACAATGTTGTGGATTTTCCCATCCTCCAGATGTGGAATTATTGAATTGCACAGGTGTGTGAGCAGGTTTTCAGGGGACGAACTGAGATGATGATGGAAACCCCCTTTAATACTCTGCTGTTGTCCAATGAGAGCTGCACCAGCTACAATTACACAGGACTTTATTTTATTAAGACATATCACGTCTCGCACATTCCTTTGTAGGACTTCTTTCGCTGTTGCTGCTGCGACTCAAGGAATTGAGGAATTCAGCGCTTTGGCCAAGGGCTTTCTATTCTGAGTGACTCCCTCTGGACCCACTGTCACACATTAAAACACAAACAAAAACTGAATCTGCTCCTCTCTGCAGCACTTTAGCTTAAGATGGACTGAGGGAATATGGACACACAAAGAGAGGAAGATATAACACACACACACACTAGATGACCCCCCCCTGACATGGACTGTGGGTGGAGCCTGTCCAATCCCTATTGCGGTGGACGCACACACAGGCAGCAGTGGGTGTTAGTGTGTGTGTGTGCTGCTTACATAATGTGCAAAGCACCCAGAGTGACGCTAAACAAGCCATACAAGCCACTACAGGTGGATAAATCTTAGCCAGTCCAGGTGTGCCTGTGTTGAAATCAGAGTGAATGGGTTTTACCCCGAACGTGAATGTATTTGCCTGTTTTGCAAATGTGTGTGTGTGTGTGCATGTGAGACAGATAGAGAGAGTGTTTGAATGCAGAGGTTTATTATGAGCACAGTCCAGATTCAGTCCAGCTCTTAAGCTTTTCTGTAGGTTTGTGTACACTTTCAAAAACAGCCGTTCCAATGTTTATGATACAGCGTCATGTATACTGATTCATCTCATATTACACTTCATTCAGAAAATCCTTGTTATTCCTTCCTTTGTGCTCTTGTACAGTATTATTTGTATATATCTATATAAATATTATGTTCATCTTTCTCTGTCTGTTTAATTGTTTTTGTATGTGCTAATATTAAAGGATAATTACAACTCTGGTCTTTTTATTGGTTATGATAATGCTGTACTCGCTTTGCTGAGATTTTTGAACAATGCAACATCATTTAACAAAGTATAAACATAAGTACACAGGAAGACAGTCCAGACACTCCAAAAATATATAAACAAGGAAGGAAATATTAAGAAGCCTTTATTATCGATCATATATTTTTGGAGTGCCTGGATTGCCTTCCTGTGTATCCTGTTGTTCTCCGTTTTCCATGAACACTCGACCTTCAGTTCAGGCAGGAACACTTAAGTCAAAGAAAACTTTATTTCCATCTGCAGTATTATACTTGGCGGTATGGCTCTGTTCTGGGGCCTCTCTGGCTTTCCACAGGCCTACACAGAAAGCCTCTTCCACGCTCCAACGTGTAAAACCTTAAGGGAGAGAGAGCAATGCAAACCACATGCAAACAAGGAGAGAGAGCAAACCTCCTTGCCCTTCCACATGCAAACAAGGAAAGCTTAGGCAGAAAGGTGAGTTGCAAAGCAGCTTGCAGAGGAAGCAGCAACAGTAGGCAGGCCAGAGCAGTTTAAATAGGGCGCCCTGAATGAGATTTACGAATTGGTTGCATAGAAAGGAATCGTGATCTATCAGCTGACTCCTTTCCATCAATCAGTGTGCTTCTTAATCAGTGTGCTTCTTAATCAGTGTGCTGTATTTCTTTTTCTTGCATCTATGTTCTTTTGATGAATTGGGATTTGAACAAAGCAAAACATTCAAATGTAAAAATGAAATAAATATTGCAAGCAACCTTTCCCCCACCCCCCAGAGCCAGTCTGCAACGCTAGGGCCCTGCCCGTGTGTGCCTGCCACCCAGCATACAATGCACCAGATCCTGATTCCTGTACCTACGGGTGGTGGGCCTACAGGGCGATGGCTCTATGTTATTTATTCGGCCTGAGCCCAGGGTCTTGTTCATGAGTGAGGATAGAATGGAGCATGAGATCGTACTGAAGAGGGAGCTGAACCAGAAGGTGAAGCTTTCAATTTACTGGTCCATCTACGTCCCAACCCTCACCTATGGTCATGAGCTCTGGGTAGTGACCAAAAGAATGAAATTGTGCATACAAGTTGCAGAAATGAGTTTCCTCGGTGGGGTGTCTGGGCTCAGCCTTAGAGATAGGGTGAGGAGTTCGGACATCTGTAAGGAGCTCGGAGTAGAGCCGCTGCTCCTTTGCATCGAAAGGGGTCAGTTGAGGTGGTTCTGGCATCTGATCAGGATCCTCCTGGGCGCCTCCTGTTAGAGGTGTTCTGGGCAGTTCAACTGGTAGGAGGCCCCGGGGCAGACCCAGAACACACTGGAGGGATTACATATCTCATCTGGCCTGGGAACGCCTCCCCCAGGAGGAGCTGGAAAGTGTTGCTGGGGAGAGGGACATCTGGGGTGCTTTGCTTGGCCTGCTGCCCCCCTACCTGGCCCCACATAAGCGAATAAAAATGGATGGATGGATGGATGGATGGATGGATGGAAGCCAACTTTCCTCCAAATACGGAATATCTATAATTATATTTTTGCAGACATAACTTCATACAGCTGTTTGCTATGTAAAGATATAGTGGAGTAATGGCATCTTGAGTAGATCATGGTCTCTGTCTGTTATGTCATCCGAGCTTCTCTGTTCTTTCTTGTTGTAGACAGTCCATCCAGACATCCATGTTAGTGCATGTGAGTCCCATGGGTGTATCCCACTGGCTAGCGGATTGCAGTGACCTGACAGGACAGTGAAAGGACACCAGATCCGTCAAGTATGCAGGTGCTTGACCATGGAGGGCTCTGTAAGTGATGGTTAGAATCTTGTGCTGGATCCTGAAATTAACAGGGAGCCAGTGCAGGGATGCCAGGACTGGAGTGATGTGAGTGAACTTATGAGATCTGGACAGAAGCCTGGCGGCAGCGTTCTGGACCAGCTGGAGGCGGTCTAAAGTTTTATTTAGACAGGTGAAAAGAGAATTACAGTAATCCAGACGTGAGGAAATAAAAGCACGGATGATCATTTCTAGCTCGGAATAAGTTAACGTGGATCTGAGTTTGGAAATGTTTTTGAGGTGGAAAAAGCAGGAGCGAGTGACAGTTTTCATGTGGTCATCAAAGAGCATGGCCTGATCAAATGTGACCCCAAGGTTTCTCAACTTGGGGCGCACATTTGCACTGAGGGACCCTAAGCAGCTGGCCACTTTAGATTTTGAGGCATCAGGTGCAATAATTAAAATCTCAGTTTTAGCTGCGTTCAACTGAAGGGAGTTAGAAGACATCCAGTCCTTAATTACATTCATACAATCGTACATTGAGTCAATTCCATCGGTCCTATCAGGGTTAAAAGAAAAATATAACTGGAGGTCATCTGCATACATATGGTATGAGATACCTTCAAAATTGCTGATGACATCTCTGAGAGGGAGCATGTATAGCGTAAAGAGGATAGGCCCAAGCACTGAACCTTGGGGCACCCCACAAGAAAGGGGGGCAAACTCTGATTTATGAGGGCCAACAGCCACAGAAAAGGATCGATCAGACAGATAGGATTTAAACCAATGAAGAGCGGTCCCTGAGATTCCTACCCTGTCCCTCAGGCTGTCTAAAAGGATGTGGTGATCAACAGTGTCAAAGGCTGCACTGAGATCAAGCAGAACCAGGATAGTGGATTTACCGGCATCGGAGGCCATCATGATGTCATTGGAGACCCTGAGAAGAGCAGTTTCTGTGGAATGTAACTGACGATAACCGGATTGAAATTTATTTAAGATATTGTAACTGTTCAACGCTGTCACTAACTGGTTTGCAACTGCTTTTTCTAGAATCTTACATACAAAGGGCAGCTTGGAAATGGGCCTTGTTGCCTTGTTGCTGAGCAGAACTCTTCCCAGACACACTCACAAGAACTCTAAACAACAGTTGATATAACTGCCCAGGCCTTGAAATACTTCACATAAATTGGACAAAAATATCCTTATCACCCTGCTCTGTTTCTCACACACACACTCTCTCCGTGTCCCTTCAGATTAAGTCATCCATCACTCTCGCTCCCAAAACACTCTCCCCTACATTCACACAGCGCCACAGAATGTAGACCATAACAGAGAGGCCGGGGCAAGCACACACACTGTTTGGGTTTAGGCGGCCTGCGTGTTTTCCACTGCCTCCTCGCCCACTCGCCGTGACGTGGTTGGCCGTGAGGTGTGGACACATTCCTGGCGCGTCGAGCAGAGCTCCACGGCAGGCCGGGTCAAAGGTCCCTCACCTGTCTGCCGGCCTTGCCTCCTCAACGAGAGGTGAGCGGAGGTGGATGTTTTTTCACAGCTGTGGCCCGGATAGCCTCTTGTACCCACGTTTCCTCATTCACGGCCCATTCACAGATTAGTGGCAGAGGGGTCACGGCTCCTCTTCGTTTCTGCCAAGCTGTCCAGACAGCAGGGGATGGGGTGAACGAGTGCATACGGGAAGAGGAATGTGACTGGAAGGAATGCCTCGGTGCCAGTGGTGGGAATTAACTATGTACTCTTACTCAAGTATTGTAATTCAGGTACTTGTATTTGAGTATTTTTCCCATTTCCTGCGACATTCCAGACGGAGAGAAAATGACTTTTCACTCCACTACATTTATCACCCTGGTTATTTTACAGAACCACTGCGGAAGAAGAAGGTGCAACACGAAGACATCACTAAAAGAGCGTCAAACATCAAACGATGGATAACAATGTGGAAATATGTCAGTTATGTTTGTTTAATTAATTGATTTAAGAAATGTTACAGTCTTCTCATGGGTCAAATCAGATCTAATGTTTTTGTGTCTTCGGTAGACTTTTTAGCCACATGATTCACCTGCATCGCGATTTATTTCCATTGTACTTAATCACACTTTTGTTTTATCACAACCTTCTGGGATCGATTTTTACTTTTTTTACATTCTGGCATTTCCACTCAGTTTTTTATGCACAAACGAGCAGCAACCTCTGACGCTCAAAAATGAGGCAAACGCCAAACTGCCAAAAACTGCAATTCCTCTAGTGACCACTTGAGGCTGGCTCCAAAAAATCCTCTCTTGACATCATAGATTTCTCTGGTGTCCCTTTACGGCCCAGACACACCAAGACAACTGCTTCAGCACACATCGCCTGTATCTAATCTAAAAAGTTGCACTTGAACACACAGTAAAGATAACAGCCAATGGTCAAGCAGCAGCAGTTGGTGGTAGTTAGTATTCTTCATTCAGAAAGGGAAACTGGAAGACCGACGGGACAGAGTGGATACGCTAGATAGCCAGCACTTTAACACATCGCAGTATATCCCAACGGCGTCTGAGACACTGAACCTGGGAGTCTTTTACTGACACATCACAGCTTTTCCCAGTGGCATTTGTAGCATCAAACGCAGATATTTTGAGCCAAAACATGATCTTTTCCTAACCATAATCCAGTGGTTTTTGTGCCTAAACCTAACCACACCTCAGCCACAGTGTTGAAACGTAAAGTTTAAATGTATTGATTACAAAGAGATACACAAATGTAACGTATGGTTTGCAAAGACATACGATGCAAACACTTTCTGGCGACTGGACTGCAGAGTAAGAAGGTGTTTTATGTTTTGGGAACTGGCCTTGAAGTGTAGACACAACAGGGAGCCACAAACAGATGAATGGCTGTAGCTGAACACAGACCTCCCCTCTCTCTCTTTTTCTCGCTCTCAGTGTCTCCCTTGCTCACTCGCCCCCACTCATTGTCCCCAGATTGACTGGCCATTCTCAGCCTGTGATGGAGATGTCCTGTGGGGGGTTGCATGGTGTGGGAAACTAGTTGATGAATGAGTGTTTGGCATGCTTGCACAGATGCATAATTTGCTCCAGTATAGCTTATGTGTGTGTGTGTTATCGTAGTAATGGCGAATACATGTATGTGTGTGTACACGAGTGTGTGTGCCTGTATGAACACAATGCTCCGCTTGTGTTGCTATAGAATGGAGTTATGGCCTTTGTCCTGTCAGCATTCTTGC